ACATTAATCAATTATATAATATTATATTATATATACATTAATCAATTATATATATATATACAGATCAATTTTGAGATGTCGTTCCCCTTGTATCAAACACTCCCCAAGAAATCGAGGTCCAGATGGTCCAGCGGTGAACATTGGGATCAAAAATGAGTTGGCTGTTTGGCCATCAAAACCCAAATATGTCCAGTAAATTCCTCTAACATAAGCAGATTCCATTGCCATGATTCTTCACCACAGGGGGTCTTAAGTCTGATTCCCATCATGACTTTCTCGTCTCGTCATCTCCTGTCGTCCAAGGCGCAAGCTATTTGAAGGGCGGAAGATGAGGCCGTGAATGAAGCAAATGCCATCATCCCTCGTGACCCAATGGTTACAATGGCGCAAAAAAAAATGCTATTAACAAATAGGCACACCTACCATTTAAGGGGATGGTTTATAGCATCCATTTCTGTTTAAACAAATGGGATAGTGAAATTTTTATGCCGCGCCGGATTTTCTGAGTCGATGATCGTGTTTTCCGGATGAGAGACATGTTCGAGGCTGGGGAATCGATTAAGGGATTATGTCTAAGGGGGGGTTACTGAAGCAAGTCCAAGTAGTATATGTGTATATATATAGATATATTTATTATGATTATTATTGTTATTATTATGATTACTATTATTGCTATTATAAAATTATATGAGATACATATTATAGAATAACATATTTACCATCTATATCCCGCAAACGGCACCTTTAATGGAGTCGTGTATCCACTTCAACAAGGTATCAGTAAACATATCATATGTATATACTGTATATACTGTATATTTATCATGCAGTCATACTTTTTTCATATCACATGATATCACATGTAGATAGTAACATAATGTAAAATATAATATGTCAATATGTTACTTGGAAATTCTCAGTATCGTTCCCCAAAGAAATTTCAAGTCTGGAGATCCCAGTATATATATATGCAATAAATCAAACAGGATAATGTACATATTATATCCCCATATATAAACTATAAAGTAAATCAATGTTTGAGGAAACACATTATCCCAGTACATTATATATTGTGTTGGATAATGTGTTTCCTCAAACAGGGGGCTCTGGTTGGACACGGTCAAGGGAGTTTTGGATGGCTCACTTTTTGGGGGCACCAAAATCGATAGGCCTTGAAAATTGGAGTTATGTTATGTTAAAATAATGATACATAATATAATGTGTCTGTTGTTTTGCTTGTTTGTGTGTGTGCGTGCTGAACTGCTGATTCTATGATACTCACTTTTTGCGAGCAACCTTGATCCAAAACTATTTGATCTCAGGCCATTGCAAATTTAAAGACTACATCAATAATTCCGGCAAGTCCTATTTGGTACTGCGGAAATCTTGGAAGAGTCATGTTGACCGGTCAGGCCTTTCAGTGAGGAAGCCTTTATTGGATGGGTCGCTATCAAAACCGGCAGCTTTGTTCATCAGCTGACAGCACTTTTTGGATGCACATTTTGGTGGAATCTTGTAGTAGTTGCTTGGAGGGGGGGCAATCTGCCACTTTTCGGAGCAAGTCATCCAGATGGGGTGGTCGGCTAAAGATGTGGAACCTCCATGTTTCAATGGTTGGATTTTTAGTATCACCAGCTCACTGCAACGTCACTGGAATGAAGCTTGGTCAGGGTAACTATCCCCCAAATGGCCGAAGGGCTGAAGGTTTTCAGGTTGCTGAATTTCTTGAAGTTGTGCATATATTACCCTCTGGTAAATTAACATAGACCCTGAAACTGACCAATTTATAATGGAAACTAGTCTTCCAAACCCCATCTGGCAGGGTCTATGTTAATTTACTGGAGGGTAATCGATTGGAGGGTCACACTATTCTTTTTGGAGCGCAGCACCATGCGCAGCTGAGCATTGCTTCATGCCGGTTGGCAACCTGTGCCTTGTGACGGATGGGAAGGATGAGGCTATGAGACCTGAACAGTGAACGATATGGGTAGATCTTCGGAGTGGGTTCTTTACTAACTTTACATTTCTTTAGTCTTTCGCATGGGATATCTTTGGGTTGTTTCCAAAAAACAGCTTCAAAATGCATGGTATACCTTCGATTGGCCGTGGAGACGGCACAAATATCGGAAATTCATCCAATCCACTTAAGAAGATCGATGCAGGTCAGTCTCCAAAAAGAATCGTTTTATATGACATCAACCTCTCCAATGAACAATACAAAACCATTTTGTTTTAACGTTCTGATTCTTTGGGCGAAGGGGTTGGAGCAACTTTACAGGCATAGTATTCATCAGCATTACCAAATTTGAGGGCCCAAACGCCGCAAAAGTGAGCCATACATCATATATGGATAGTGGTACTCGTAGTGCTCGGTGCAGTCTGTACCACTTTCTGTGCTGCTTGGTGGGTTTCCAACAGTTTGTTTCTGTTTGAAGCTGCCAATCATGCAGGAACTAACAGCCCTCAGAGTTCATTATCCAGTTGGTCCGTTCACTGAATTGATGAATCCTAAACTTTATTGCCGATATGCAGTTTGGAGGTCAGTGCCAATGGTCAGTGCAAACATTCGCTGGCTGCTACACATAGTGCTATACATTGCACTAAGATTAAATAACATTGACCAAACAAAACAAAGGGTTTAAGGGGTCTAAATGTTCGACCCATCCCATAACAAGCTCACTGTGACTCCATGGCTAAGCGCCAAAGACCAGACCTCGTCCTTGGAGTTTCCGTCGCCTGATCCGCCAAAGTTTGTGGATGACGGTCGTAGAGTGAAGCAGAATGGCCCAGCCGTTGTGCTGGGCTGGGCTTCAACGCTAGGTTGCAGCAACCGCAATCCCAAGCTTGGAATGGCAGCAGGTTTGGTTGTTACCTGGCACATGGCATGGTCGCTACTGTAGGTCACATCCAAATATGTGGAAACGTGATGAAACGTGTTTTGACTACACAACATGGACATAGCTCCATAGCTGGATATAGATGATTATAGAAGGTGGTTTCAAATGGCATTCAAACGTATTAAAACATATTAAGATATATTAAAACAACACATCTACCTGGGATATCCTGGGATTAGGATCCCCATTGACTTCATGATATTTCCGCTGGATCGCTGTGCTGCAAAAATCTGGGGTAAAGTATGAAGACCTTAAGGACCCTCACCCGGAGAATTACGCAGGAATTCCGGTATGAAATACTATGTTATTAATATGATCTTATTATATACATTATACATAACAAGATCCTGGTAACGTATGTAATACATTGTAATACCATGTCTCACAATATATGAATGTACATTATGATGACGCCGAAGAAAACTCGGTTGATTTGATGAATCTGATGCTGATGAAAGGTCGTAGTTTACCCCGTTCTGAGATCCAACTTGTGGCTCTGAAACAGAGCACAACCTGCACAGCAAACCAACCCTTGTACAGTCAAGCGACAGTAGTCCGTGTGAAGATCAAATATCACTCAACTGCTCGACATAGTGAACATGTTGGGGCCAACAAAAGAGTGTTGTATCCTCTGGGAACCAATCATGGCAACGGAAAATTACCCGTTTCTGTGAGATTTATAGATGCTTTTCCCATTAAGATGTCCATTTAGTTCGGGGATGTCTCAGCCGCGTTTGAGGACACCAGCTAGCTCATCAACTTCTGGTCCGTTACCTTGCGGGAAGCATAGGCCCTGATTTTTTTGGAATCTTTGGGTATATAGGCAGTCACCACCGTCTTGTAGGTCAATAACTATGCTATAGTATGTTTTTACATTTGTTTACGTATTTTTGATGATTCAAATAGGGTGCATGTTGCCATATGTTGCCAGAATAGGACCAAAGTGGTATAGAAACCTCTGAAAGGATTAGACAAAGCTAATGTCCAACCCTTTCGCTTATCCAGTTTAAACAAAAAAACCCTTGTGGTAATGAAACATAGCAATGGAAATCCACCAGTTGCCACGGCCGAGGCAAAGCCCTGAGCTTGGGGTGCCGAGCTAAGGGAGCAATGGAAATCCTGGCTGGGAAAGGGTCAGAAAGTGGTGGTTTTCATGGGGAAATCATCTAGAAATGCTAGTTTTAAGATGTTTTAACTGGAAAATCATATGTAAAATTGATTCTTTGAATATGTTTGCAAGGAGAATCACTTCTGAACAGTGGTATTAACTGGAAACATCATGGAACTATATAAATGGTGGATTGTTCATTGCCAGTTTGATTACCAGAAGGTGTTCTGATGTTATGTTCAAAAGTATGGGGGGGGCTTGGGCGGTGGTTTTATCCAAATGAAATGGTGTGTAATAAATTGGTGGAGTTGGCATATGTTAATATCCAATAATATCTGGATTCTCCATGGTGGAAGTGTTGACAACCTATCCAGTGCTTTTGCCTCATAATATTGTAGGTGTTTGTTCAATGTTCACTCTATATGCGCCTAGGGTACATTCGCAACGAGTTGGTACTGAAAAATCGCCCTTGGCAAGTGTTCAAGACTGGGTCAAGCATAGTCCAGATATATCCAGAATTATCCAGATATATCCAAATGACCCCAGATGTTCGAAAATGCTTGGAGAACAAAGGATCACCATGGGTAATCCCAGAGCGTTTTCCGCTTATCGCTTCCTGAAAGCCTCAAGCTGCAAAGCCCCGGTCCATGGAGATCCTTGGGGAAGGCAGTGATCCCTAAGCAAACATTCCGTCACCAAAAAACAGCCAAGATAGAGAGTAAATATATGAGTAAATGAATGTGAACGAGACTTCCTACAGAAACATGTCAGTTTCAGGAGTTGATGATGTTTTTCCAAGCTTCAACGGCCGGGCACAACGAAAACATGAATCTCATGATGTCCATCCACTTCAATGGATCGACTTGGACAAAAAATACTCAAAACCATCGTGTTTACTGCAAATTCGGACGGTGTTCTTGGATTTGTTTTGGATCAAACATTTGAAAATCCACATGTTGTTTGGTTCAGTCAGTTCAATCTCAACTTTTGCTGCTTAAAGCCTTCCCACCCCCCGCTGCGCCATGTTTCTGGACCACGACTCGCCGTTGCTGCAGCCGGCGCCAGATGCCGACGCCACGGGAAGCCTCCCGCTACCCCGCTTGGAGCCAGAGCCAGCTGTGGAAACAGCGGAGAGGAAGCCAGCTGTGTTTACCCCCTGGTGATTCCATGTGATTCCCTGGCCCACCGGCCCACCATGGCCCATCCACTCGTTCAATGGTGCGGTGTTGCCTCACTTCAGTGAATGATGAATTTGCGATTCCCAAACATGTCCTATAGCACTTTCCCATGTCCCAACCACCTGCCCAATCAAACACGCCAAGGGGCCCTTAGTAATCAAATATCGTAATGGAAGAGGGGATGCGTCATTGCAAAAATAAACAATGCTTGCCGGATATGCCAAGCGGATCCAATTGGGATGGTCGTTTGATGCAGTCAAGACCTGTATCACACACACATAATACGTGCAGAGAGAGAGAGAGAGAAAAACAAAAAATATATATATATATACATATCATATGATTATATTGTATTATATGATATGTGCTTAAGAACATTAAATAAGAGAAAGCTAATTATTCTGGGCAGGTGGATGTTGCATTCCACCGCTGCAGTTTCACAGCTGCAGTTGTGCCCCAGGATCATCGAGTTGGTCTTTGAGCGGCCTGGCTCCCTAGGCCCCTTGGGTGCCGTCAAAAACCTGAGCGCAGGGTGCATCCCAATAATAGAAATTGATATAATATGTATAATATATATATATATATATTTATAACCCAGTTTCAGATGGATTATGATATGTGTTTATGAAGTATGTGCTACTTGAGAATGCATCCCGCAAGTAGAAAGTTGAAGTCAGTTGGCATTGGCCCAAGCTCGGGCTGGCGGCCGGGCTGGCGGCCATGCTGATGTCATTGTCGATCCTGGAAGTTGCAGTTTCCTTGGGTTTTTATAAATGGATACTAGTCTAACATAACATAACATAACTATGGAAAATGTGTCCCTTTTATAGGTTTTTGTTTTCCTAAAATGGATTGAGATGGATTGTAGTTTAAGATTTATAACAGAACATGTGGCAATGTATAGATTATTTATTGCATGTTCATTTATCGAAAAAAATGTGATGTTCTTGACCAGAGGGTAAATAGATCGCATCCCCAATTCCAATTGTACAATATCATCCATGTATCCAGGAAGTTTCCTGACATAAACCAGACCATGCAAAAAAAAAAAACACGCAAAAATCATGTTGCTACCATTTCCCCCGACCTGAAAGAGTCGCAGTTCTGTGCTATGCCAGGCATCGAGTTCAAAGAGCTGGCCGCGCCCTTTGTAGTAGAACAAGTGCACAGCACAGGCTTGGCCACTTGGCTCAAGGTTCAGCATGGATCCCACTGGTCCCCCGTGAAAAGTTTGAGCAAAAGGTGGGATATGGTGGGATGTAGTACTCCCTTTGTTTCTGGATCATTTCGAACAACCGAACCCATCGCGATGTCACTGGAAAGATGGGAATTGGATTAGGGTGGCTGTTTTTTTCAATGGCCAAGCTTTTCAGGCGACTGTAGTGAATGTAATTGATTGTAATTCATCCACATATTTCCGCTTTTTTGTTGAAACATCAGGTGAAAATGCCAGGTGAGATGCTTTTTTCCTTGCGTGCACAGCAACGCCTATGATGGTTGGCACTTCTAAAAAACGGGATAAAACAAGGGTGTGTCGGATGATAGGGTACCTCAAATCCCATGGCTCTTTTATTTTAATTTATTTTCGATCATACAGTACTAATTATTTTGGATTTGGGAACATTAGCATGTTCCATTTGTAGGTACACAAATACTCATTGTAGATTCATTTCATTAGGTCTCCATTAAACATATGAAACCAAATGGTTTTTGTATCGTTTGTATGATTAATTTCCCACGAAATCCCCCATATTCCTGTCCTGTGGTGTCAATGGATCGGACGACCCCATAGAGGATCTTCTATGGGGAAAAGACATGGTGGTTTCGGGTGAAGATGTTCCCAGTCGCTTCCGTAGATCCCGACATGGCGCGACCACGTTTGTTTTTTTTTGGGTGGCTGATGCTGATGGTGAAAAATGTGCATTCTATTACCATGATATTCCCGTATACATGTTTTATGCGAGTAAAACAAAAATAAACCAGCCATGACTGGGAATGATTTATTAAATTTATAGCACCTATAAGAATGGTGAACTTGGGGATGTTTTATGGCATTGTGTTACCGTTACATTACTACATGAAGTATCATAAAGTACTATATGTTCATATGTGTTGATTATATTACCATTATTTTTACTGGTATATAATAGGAAAATCATTATTTTCATGGTAATATCATGGTGTTCTAATGGATACCATCACTATTATATTACCATCATTTTCCCTAAAATAGTCCACTGGATATAAGATGAACCTAAAATAAAATAGTATCCATTTCCATTATAGTACTATATGTCCATTATAGTCCCCAAAATAAATGTATCCGTAGCATATCCATTGGTCCATATCCCACCGGACGTTGACATCCGTTGACTTTTCAGAGCCAAGGCCTATGGCAAGGACCTCCAGAAAGGCGATCGGCTGATTCAAGTGGCGGGAGCAGCGTGGCTGGAAATCCATTGAAGAAATGGCGAAATCTGCTTGAAATGATGGTTTTTTATGTTGGAAATCCATGGGATAATCCTCAAATAACTGCTATAAGCTTTTTGAGTGGGAAATCCTTTCTGTACCCACAGATGTTTCTGTGGGAAATAGTCTATAACCAAAGTATCAATCGTTGGAATGCGGGATTGGCAGAGGAAAATGGGGCCGGAGTATATTGGAAATATTGGAATAACCTCAGACGAATCCAACGCGCAGACCTGCTGAAGATCGGGAATGTAGACCGTTTTGGACATGACTGGTTGTTTGAACTTTAAGCATTGTTTTTTTCATGTGTTTCTACCCCAGTGACTGATATGATTGCTGAAAATTGAGAGTAGTAAGTTCGCAGCTGGCTGCGTACAATCTGTTTGAACCAGAAGCGCTGATGAAGCTTTGCCCTCTCAGACAACCACCATAGGTAGGAAGGGGCTAGCAGCCTTCCACTGTTTGAAATTACTACCTGTAGATATCCCATCATTCGCACACTTGAATCCATGTTGCTTGGTTGTTGAGTGGTAAAGTATCACCATCTCTGATTGTTTAATCAATCCTTTTTGTTGGTCACATACTCATCAAATCGGTTTCTGCAGATTTGTTGGTGATGTTGATGATAATCCCATGATATTCCCAAAGTAGCTAACTATTCCCAGGTGTGTTGCACTTAACCCCCCATTATACCAGCCAAGCACAAAATGGAAAGGGAAATGATGGAGGAAACATCACCCATAAATGATATCCTGGAAATTCAGTTTTTTTTTGTGGTCGGAGGGTATTATAGTAACCCACCAAAAAGATAGAACAGTGAAATCCTAAAATAATGATAATCCGCATTTCTATCTTTTTGGGTGGTTATTGAAGGTTCTTGATCCCATCAGCCTAAGATTTAAACAGCCCATAAATTAGCCGTAGGGTCCCACTGATCCCATTTATGGTTAATATCCACATCAAAAATGGATATAAATATCATAATGTAATGTGGAATATGTCCCAAGAATGGTGGATATTTCTCTACCACAATATGAACCACCCCATCAAATGGATATGTTTATCCCCCCCAAAAAAATGTGGAAATTTCCTACGAAAGCCACGGGTTTCCAAGGACGAGGTGGGCGAGGCCAAATGGGACGACTTGGTGAAGAAACTCACCCCGCGGCACCTTGAAATCCGTGGAATCCATGGATACCAATCGGACGTTGGAGATGGCAATTGGCGATGTTTTTTTTGGGATTTTTGGGGATATACCCTCTGGTTATGTCAAAATAGCTATGGAAAATGGTCATAGAAATAGTTGATATACTCATTAAACATGGTGATTTTCCATAGTTATGGACGTTATGGTAGTTTACCAGAGGGTAAAATGGATGAACATGGTGATGTCATATGAAACATGTTGATTTCATTGGGATTGGCGTAACCTGAGATTTTCTGACCCATGAAATCATGCGGGAAATGGTGGTCGATGGGATTTTCCTGGTGAGTCCATGGGGGTTTTCATGGGGCCACACCACATAATTTATGACCAGTTTTGATGGGGAATGTTAAGGGTGAATTAGTGTTGTTTGAATGTTAAGGGTGAATTAGTGTTGTTTGATGAGACAAGCATTTTTTTTGGGACATCAGGTTACATAGGGGGATTTGTTGCTTATGGTGTTTGACAATGGGTATACCATGGTATACTCCAAAAGTATCCAAAAGTGCACTGTTGACCTAATGACATTATTGATAATGAACTATGACCTACATCCATGGTATACTCCAACCATGGTTCATCAAAGTATCCAATGGTTCATTTAATGGACACTTGTTGATGAACCATGACCTATTTTTAGTTCAAGGCCATGACCTCACCAACGAAAATCAGTGGGTGAATGCAAGGGAAATCATCCCCGAGCCCAAGAGTTTCAGAACTGGAATTTATCCAGAGATATGTATGGATACCCTCTGGTAAACTAACATAACTATGGAAAATCACCACTTTTAATGGGTAAATCAACTATAAATGACCATTTTCCATAGCTATGTTAAATTACCAGAGGGTACGTGCTGTTATGTCAGTCAATGTAGTGTAGTGTAGTTTACTGTAGTGACGCTGTAGTGCAGTGGAGTGCAATGTAATGATATTGATCATGTAATGTGTTGTAGTGTGATATAGTGTGATGTAGTGTGATGTGATGTGATGTAATGTGTTGTAGTGTGATGTAATGACGTAATGGTCTAATGTAATGTCACATATGCCATATGCATTTTTGTTTGCATATATATATATATATATATGGTCATATATATATACATAATATATATATATATATTATAATGGGATGCTGCCGAAGGCCAGTGAAGGTTGCCTTTGAACGACCGAGAGATGCAGATCTTCCAGCACAAGGGCTGGGCTTTGGACAGATTTGGTCGCTCGGTGGAGTTGGTGCAGTTGGGAGCGGCTTCTAAGCGGCTTTTGTCACGTCATGAGATGTTACCCTATGGAAAAACAGGGAAAAACAGCTCTATAATCTTTATAAATGGTGGCTTAACCATCAACGTAATGGGACTTTATGTGATTTATGATGAGATTTACCTGGTTCTAATTCAATTTGTGTCCGTTTTCTCTCAACTCAGAGGTCTTGTTGATGGTGAACCCTGCACGGCTAGCTGATGCTGACCCCAACAAGACAAAGAGTTCAGCCAACCCTTCGTTCTGTGGGTTAAATTTCCGGACTCTCAGTGAGCGTTTGGACGATGCTGATGGTGATTTACAGAAGACCATGGCCAACCCCAACCCCCAAACCATAAACATCATAACCTCAAAACAGAATCTCGGGAGACCCATGGCCCATGGCCACCATGAAGAACGAAGCCAGGGGGGCCGGTCTCCGGCCCCATATATCGAGCAGTTTGAGATTCTCCCTGACCATTTTTGATAGTGAGAATTTCTGGATATATAATTTGAATCAAAATAGTTTGCAGATGTTTGTATAGAAAGGATGTGCCCATGGACATGATTTCGCCCCAGAAAATGCCAAACAAACCGAATGCTGACACCGACCCAAAACCCCATTATCATTTCAAAATGAGCTTGATCTTTTGTTTCCTTGGGTATGGCTGGGTATGTGTTTCTTTTTGGCAGAAACTTGAAACTTGAGGGTGTTCATCCTTTTTGTAGAACCCTTATGTTCAGATCATGTTTGGATGTCCTGTGCGCAACCCATGCCACTGAAATTCAATGGATTTGTAATAGTCATAATCAGTCCTAATTGTTCACCCAAAGAGTCTTTTTACACCACATCTTTGTGAACAAAATGAGGTCCGCGGCCAGCGGCTTTGGTCTCGGAAAAGTGGGCAGTGCTGGGCTGGAGCTGACCAATAAGGCCTGGGCAGCTCATTGGAGCGTCATGGATTTCCACATGAAACCAGTGCAAATTCATGGAACATAGATGTTGAAAAGCCTAGAGGCCATAGTCTATAGGTTTTTACCGCTATAGTTAGACCCCCTGAATTCACAGCCATCCTTTTTGGTCGGTCTGCAAAAACGAATGCCATATTTTCATCCTGAAAAGTTGTAACCAAAACGGGGATGATCTTTGAACAGAAACACATGGTCCTCATATTAGTCCTCAGAATTTGTCCAACTTCGTCATGTCTTCACACCCTGCAGCCATACAACAGCAACTACTACTGCCCTCCAGTATGTTATTATAGCTAGGGACACCTATGGACTAACAAAATCACACCATTTTGGATCGGTGAATTATCTAGAAACGGGCCATGTTCCACAGCTATGTTCGATTGCTAGAGGGCTCCCTTAATAATCCGACGTGTCTATCATCATGTTCCACAGCCAACAAAACATCACAACTATATATATATATATACAAAAAAAGTTCATATATCATCTTATATGCTGATTATTCCTATATTTGCACCCTGGGTATTGATCATTGCATGACTATAGCATATTATAGCCCCATGTATCGCCATAGCATTCTTCATGGAATTTATAGGGACCCGGAGGTGTCATCATCGGATTTTCGGGTCCAACCAGCTGGGTACCATGGATTGGAACCCTCCATTCAATGGCAACTCCGACATCCGATTTATTGGAGGTACCCACCATATATAAGGCCTATTTTTTTAGGCCTATGTAAGTGAATATCCCAGCAAAATATGGCCTAAAAATGGTACGTTTACATAGCTCCATTTTAGGATCCTGGAGATCTCCCATTGATCCATTGTTTTTCAGGTGAGCGCCGGTTTGGACCTGGGCTCCCAGATCACTGGCGCCGCCGGCGCGGCCGCGTTGAACTTGCTGGGCGGAGGGGAAGAGGCCGATGGCATCAAGGGAGACCGATGACCTGCCGGATGGGTTGTAACGGCCAGTCGTGGAAATCCACGACCTGGGGAATCTACTGGGATAAAGGATAGCTTATTGGGAATCTACTGGGGAATCTATTGGGAATCTTGGGGAATCTACTTGTTGTTGATTTATTTGAGGCTTCCCGTAGGGCAAATCCCAGGATACCCTCCAGGAAAAAAGTTATTGTTTGCTGGTGAACATCGTTATGGAGTTATGGATACTTAAGTGGCCTTTTCAATCATGATGATTTTCCAGAGCAAACTGTTAACTGTTTGTTTACCAGACGGTAACCCTTACAAATTGATAAACATAATGTTTTTTTTTTTTTGGGGGGGGGGTGGTGATTTTATGGAAAACAATGTTAATTCTAGTTGAACATCTGGATTCTGGATTTAACTCGATATTACCCATTGCATATGATGATTGGGATATGAATGGGTATCTTTCTATTTTGAATCAACCATGTGATAGCTTGGGTTGCTCCAAAAAGGAGGATGCCCCGTAAGTGTGTTTTTCTTTTGAAGTAAATATGATGCTTCACCCATGTTTTTTTTGTTTCAGACAGAGCCAAGTAGGAACTTCAGAACTGAGTGCAGCATGGAAACGTAGGGAAGTGTACTGGACATGTACCCTCTGGTGAACTAACATAGCAATGGAAAATCACCATTCTTAATGGGAAAATCCACTATAAATAGCCATTTTCCATTGCTATGTTAGTTCACCAGAGGGTATACTTTAAGAGGTCAATATTGTAGGATCTTGTTCGGACAGAAATTCACTATGTAATCAAGACAGTGGATCAAACTTAGATCGAAATGCACCGAATAGCGTTTTTTTTGGCAGAATTATCATGATTTATTTATACAGATCAACACAATATCAGATGAATCATTGCTTAATCATCATGAATTATATATAGATTATATAGATCAACATAATCAAATTTGTGAGATTTGGTGAGCCAATTTGCGCAGCAGGAGCTAGCAAGGCTACGAGAGCAGGTGAAGACTATGAAGCTGGATGGCATTGGACCTTGACCACATCACCCATTGCTAGATATTTCTCTGCCAAAATGTTTCATTTAGATTCATGTGGTGGTGGGGCATATTTTATATATATTTACATGCACATATATATATATATATGTATATATATATATATATGCTCATACATATAGATGCGCAGGTTGCAGTACATGTTTGAGGTTGTTAGCATTAAGACATAATTCCATATGTACTTACCACTTCTAGACCCAGATGACTGATAGTGAGGTGGGGTTTGTAGGTCTAATATCAAGCCGAGATTCTGTGTGCCCTGGGGATTTCACAAAGAAAATGCGGAGCCGCCAAGGAAGGCAGCCGCTCCTGAGAGCGAGCTGCAGTTGGAGCTCAACAGGTTGCAGGCAGAAATGATGCCTTACTGCAGCTGGAGAGATTGGAATGTGATGGAACATGAGCAATCACCGGTGTTCAAACGTGGGTTAGTTATTGAGTGTATATATGCATATACATACTGTACATATATATATAGATATTATAAATATGTAGGTGAACACAGTGTAGCATACTCATCATGCAGTGTATATATATATATACACATACACTGTATTTATTTAATATATATATATATATATGTGTGTGTATGTAATTAAATTTTAATGCATGCATTTGTATATGTCTATGTATTTATGTTGTATTCGCAGCCAAGAACGGTTGGGATTTGACTGATTTAATTAAGCAGGAGAAGTTGGCCTGGAAGTGGCAACACTGGGGGCAGTAGGGTGCCCTCCAGTTTGACCGTTTACCCTCTGGAAAACGAAGAGTTTGCTACGGGAAATGGCCCATTTCCTTCGTTGATTGACCTATAAATGATTGCGTATTTTTATAGCAATTGTTAATCTACTAGAAAATCTTACTAAATCCCATAGTGTTAAAATCTAACGAAATCCCATAAAATATGGTGATCCAGAGGGTAAAGCCCGTAAAATCCAACCAAATCCAACCTTTTTCCAATGGCCATTTGGCATCGGCGCCTGAGGTTGAACCTATAATAGTGGCACAAAGGTGACCGCTGCTCCTTCCAGTGACATACTTATCGATTTACGGCTAGGTACATGATATACATAAAATATTATTATTATATTATTTTATGTGTTTATTTATTTGCTGGTATATGAATATATAACACTCATATGGAGAGATATTAGTATATATATATGTACTAATATGTATATATATATATATACATATGTGTGTGTGTTTGTTTGTTTGTTTGTTTGCTTGTTTGTTTGTTTGCATATGTAAGGCTAACACATATGATGACAACCCATACAACATCGACGCCTTTTTCTCCCATGAAAAGAATCCCCTCAGGAAGTCGCAGTTGGAGGCGTCCAAGCAGCAGCAGCAGGTTCTTTTTGGGGGTTCCTGGGTCTGTCGTGGTGCCACCTACCCAACTATGGGCTTTAACCATCAATGGCACCATCAATGGCTATGAAAATACATTAAAATAGCAAAGATGGTGATGCGGATCTCCCTTGCGAAGAGGGAGAGAAAGGTGATTTAACTCTTAAACAATGTGGGTTGATGTGGCAAACAGATGCAAACAGTGAGTGTCGGGCAACTTAATATTTGGAAGCAGGCAGTGTTGAGCATTTGCCGTACGGTTTGACAAATGTTTTGTTCCAAGATGGAATTGCAACACGCTTCCCTGCAGGCTTTGAACCAGGCAAAACAAAATGCTGCCATCGAAAGCCAGACCCTTCGGCAAGAAGTGGAGGATGCGAAGCAAGCAACCGCAAAGGCCAAGTCTGACCTGGAAAGTCTGCAGCTTGAGTTGCAAGCGGCCAGGGCAAATGGAGCAGAGTCGGCCACACTGGCCCAAGAGCTTAGCGAAGCTAAACAGGCAGCAGCACAAGCCAGGTCTGACTTGGAAACTCTGCAGCTTGATTTGCAAGCAGCAAGGGCAAATGGAGCAGAGTCGGCCACACTGGCCCAAGAGCTTTGCGAAGTTAGACAAGCAGCAGCACAGGCGACGTTTGACCTGGAAAGTCTGCAGCTTGAGTTGCAAGCAGCAAGGGCAAATGGAGCAGAGTCCGCCACACTGGCCCAAGAGCTTAGCGAAGCTAAACAGGCAGCAGCACAGGCCAAGTGTGACTTGGAAAGTCTGCAGCTTGAGTTGCAAGCGGCCAGGGCAAATGGAGCAGAGTCAGCCACACTGGCCCAAGAGCTTAGCGAAGCTAAACAGGCAGCAGCACAGGCGACGTCTGACCTGGAAAGTCTGCAGCTTGAGTTGCAATTGGCAAGGGCGAATGGAGCAGAGTCGGCCACACTGGCCCAAGAGCTTCGCGAAGCTAAACAGGCAGTAGCACAGGCCAAGTCTGACTTGGAAACTCTGCAGTTTGAGTTGCAAGCGGCCAGGGCAAATGGAGCAGAGTCGGCCACACTGGCCCAAGAGCTTAGCGAAGCTAAACAGGCAGCAGCACAAGCCAGGTCTGACTTGGAAACTCTGCAGCTTGATTTGCAAGCAGCAAGGGCAAATGGAGCAGAGTCGGCCACACTGGCCCAAGAGCTTAGCGAAGCTAGACAAGCAGCAGCACAGGCGACGTTTGACCTGGAAAGTCTGCAGCTTGAGTTGCAAGCAGCAAGGGCAAATGGAGCAGAGTCCGCCACACTGGCCCAAGAGCTTAGCGAAGCTAAACAGGCAGCAGCACAGGCCAAGTGTGACTTGGAAAGTCTGCAGCTTGAGTTGCAAGCGGCAAGGGCAAATGGAGCAGAGTCAGCCACACTGGCCCAAGAGCTTAGCGAAGCTAAACAGGCAGCAGCACAGGCCAAGTGTGACTTGGAAACTCTGCAGCTAAGCGCGCAGAGTATGGAGTCTTCTTGCACCTCTTTGAAGCAGCAACTTGAAGCGTCGATTCAGTCTGAATCTGAAACCAAAGCAAAGTTGGAGCAAACGCTGCAAGGCCTTCCAGATCCCAACCAGGCAGATATGGCCATTGGGCACGAGCAGAGGGGTTTGCAGAAAGAGAGACTCAACTCTAGCCATAGAATATCATAGAATAGTATTTCATCAATAGATATTTTGTTGATTATATTTTAATGCCAGTGACCTCCGTTTGCGTTGGTAACCACATGGGATTGGAAATCAAAGGAGCGCAAATGCAAGCATTGTCTAAAGCGAGAACGGTTCTTTCTCCACCTGTCAGGTGAGTGTCTCTAGATTTTGTGTCAACCCAACTGCCTCCTCCTTTTCATCCTGCCGGACGTGGTGCGCCACAAGCTGTCCGCGGGATTGGTGTAGGAACCTCTCTGAATAGATGACAGAATAACTACTTGTCAGAACATATGTCAGCTAATGTCAGAATACATGGGCAGGCACACTATGTGTTTCACACAATTTGTCTCAGCAAATTTCAGAATAATGTTAGCGCAAATGTCATGCCAGAGCACATGTCAGAAAACATGTCAAGAGTATACGACAAAATAAATGCAAGAATAGATGTCAGAATATGTCAGGCTCCATGTCACATTACCTGTCAAAGTACGTGTCATGAGAAGTGTCAAAATATATGTCGCACATTGGCATCATTCTGTCAGAATGCTCCAAACAAACAGTGGGGTCACACGAAGTAAGATGATTTTGCTGCATTTTGTTTGAAGGAAATCAAGATGTTCGATGACAGAAGAATGGTTTCCCGTAGGTTCTTCCCTACAGCAGCTGATTGATGCATCATACAGTCGTGCAATATTTTGGTTGGTCACATGAATCCCCCAGTTTTATTCATTTTTGTTCATTGAACCCCGCACTGGTGATATAGGCATTATGGGGCCATACTTGGAATGATTGGTTGTGATATCTAGTATGGGGCGGTCTGAAAATAGCCGACCCCAAAAAACATGGTTAATAATGTGTTTCTGCATTATTATTTGTATTGAATGTCCATTTGGGAGTATACGACAATGTAAGACACACCCATATGTTTGGAATGGCTTACCATCCCCGCCAAACGTGCCATTTTTCGGAGATTGAAGATTCATTTGCACTAAGTCTCCCATGATATTTCCATGCAATCATGTTTCTGGCTTGAACTCCCAATGTTTATTGGTTAAATCCCATGTTGTTCTTGGTCAAATCCACCCCTTTTTTCGGTTCAATCCAGCAGTCCAGGTCGCGACGTTGGAGCAGTCACTTGGTGTCACTGGAATGGTTGGGGAAAATCTCAACCGGAAACCATCGATTTTTCCATGAAGATCATGGGGTTTTCCGGTTAAAAATGTTCCTTTTAAAGCAATCCATTGATAATATCTAGGGGAACTATCCCAAAATGTCAGATGATGTGAAATATGAAAATCATTGAACATCTACCCAGATCTACAGCGGATTTTCCAGCCATGTTTGATCACCAGAGGGTATTTGTTGTGATTTATTATGAGATTTATGGTTCCCCTCGGATGCCCCAATGATTTTTTACATGGAACATATGGAACATATGGAACATATGGAACATATGGAACATATGGAACATATGGAACATATGGAACATATATATATATATATTACATATTATATTATGTTATATTATATTATTATATTATTATATATTATATTATATTATATTATATTATATATTATGATATATTATGTTTTATTATATTGTATTATATTATATTATTTTATATTATATTATATTATATGTATATTGTGTAGATAGGTGTATATAATTACATATTGTCCGCATGAAGGGCGCAGACAAAAATTACATAGTGTACCAAAATGCCTTAAATAAATTGAATAACTATTGCGAGGCCAACCAAGAACTATACCCACCCTGATTATACATAGATGTTTCTTTTCTCCCATGGGTAGTGGAAAATATCGAAAATCCACCTATTGAGATGAAACGCACGTGTGTTGTTTTAGGTGAGGGAAGTGCATGTAAGGTTAGCCATGAACCGAAATGCATGGCGTGGTAGTTTCTGTAAATTTCTGGCAGGTGTCCCAAAAACCCACACAGTGGTTTGTTGTTTGTGTTGTTTTGCAGTTCCATATATAGGACTGTCTGAAAACAGGGCACCCCAAAATCATATAAAATCCAAGTCTTAGGATTTATTGTCAGATTCCACACGCTAAATAACAAGAATTGGAGCACAGATCCTCTATTTGTGAACCAAACCTAGCTATATCTAGCTATCATATGGTTGATTACATCCCACTATGCGGCCTTTAATCCCACATTAAATCCCAATGCTTAATATCGCATTAAATTGTATGAATTCCATTTTTTTTAAATATGCTTTAATTCTTAATCTCCCATGAAATCCGCTTTCGATGCCTTCCTCCAAGTTGTTTTCCTCTCTTGTGGCCAAGAGTTAGGCAGCTTCAAGGGTCCAAAGAGGCCCTCATCGTGCTGCAGCGCGAACTGCATGAGTCGCAGCAGCTGCAACTTGGTTAATGCGCCGTGTCGGGAATCTATAGGCAATGGTATCTACACAATATTTCTCTATGTATTTATGTAATGATATATATATATATACAACATATATAATATCTATCTATGCTGATATGCTGGCATGTGGAGGTTTCCAAAGTCCTGGTGCTACCCCAAATCATCCAAGTCATTAGAGCATTTTAAGAAACCCCCATGTAGGGGAACCTATAGGGAACACGGAACAAGAACAAAAATCCTGGAAGACAAATGACCATTGTTTTGAAGGTTTTGACCTATAAATTGAAGGTTAACCATCCAAAAGAGTTGTCATGTGGGTTCCATGTATATTTTTTTCTCCATAAATAAATGAATAAATAAATAAATACATAAATAAATATATGTACATGTATATTTACAGATATTTACATACAAATAATATCCATCTATCTATGTATGTCGTGTTGATGACTGTTTGAGCAGATGCAACCGAAGAACCAGCTACTTGAAGTTCTCCCAAGTTCATTTTTTGGGTTCAGTATGCCCGGTGGACTGTTTGCCACAAAAAGAATGTGTTCTCATAGGTGAATTTTATGGAATCAACCTCTGAAAGTGATGTTCTTTGCAGATTTTGCAGGGCTTCCAACTTTTGTTTGGCGTCACCATGGTCCCAAGAACTGAAGGCTGCTGGGATTGATCGACTTGCCCTTACTATTGAAGTAACTGGGGTGAACTAAGCCACTGTGGCATTCTATCATATTCCAATGATCTTCCCCATATATGGTTGGTATGGTGGATTTTAAATGATTTTATGCACCCAGTATCCCTATCAAAGGCAGTCTCGAGCTCAGGTATACCATTACATACCACTGGATTTTAAAACTAACTATTAGTGGCTCCCAAAAAGATAGAAAAGTAAAATAGTCAAAACAAAAGTGATGACTGATCAATCACCTTTTTCTTGTGGCTACTCTCTCTCTCTCTATATATATATATATACGCATCATATATGATTCACTTCAGACCTGCAAGTTCCTATTTGTAGGATCATCCCACTTTGATCCACTTAGGACCTGCTTAGGGGACTTATGATCACCAGGGTTTTTAAGTACGTTCCGAATGGGATGTAGTGGTACAAGGATAACATGTGGTACAAGTTTCATGGAGGAAACTCCGAGTTACGGACTTTGACAAGTGGTTTCACAATTTGTGACAAGAGGTCGGAAGCCCCGGCAAAGAGCATGGAAGTCTGCCGAAGCTCCTGTAGGCAAACCCTGTTTTTGGATTTTTTTGGGTCCTATAGCGTTACACATTGTTACACTTCTTAAACTTGGAAACTTCCGCCACCCGCCTTGCGCGGGTTCTACTTGTAGTGTATATATATATATATATGTGCGTTTTTTTTTCTATTGATATCGGGGTACCATTTATCGATATGAAAAGATATGATAAGATCTGAGTGTTTTTTTTGTGTGTTTCTAACTACCAATCATATACTTATTGATACTTTCATCACCATGTGATGCGATATTCCAAAAAGTTATGATTGCTACATATATATATATCTCAAAATATACATATATAATTATTCATATATAAATATACACATAAATAAATACATATATATATATAATAAATAGAGGTTTAGTGCTGTTGTACCATCACCATTTCCCTGAGCCAAAGCTCAGGAATCGCGAACTTCGCGCCAACGTCGAGCTGGACGCGCACAGCCTGGAGTTGGAATCTGAAGTCCAGGTCACGAAGGGCCGCAGATGTTCGCCGTGAAGTGCTTTGGGGCTGGTTGAAGTGGTTTTACCGTGAAAAAAATGGAGAAATCAACCATCAACAAGTGGATTGTTCCATTAAATCAACTTGTTTACAAGTGGATTGTTCCATTCAAACAAGAGATAGTATATCATCAAATCATCAAGAATTCAACAGGCAACACTCTGATTGTTCCATTAAACAAATACATTTGATCATCAGCTGCTTGATGATACCATCAAAACCTTGGATTGAATACATTGTAATTTCAGATTGAATCAACCTATGTTTTGCCCACAGCTCCAAAATTGATCCCAGCATGTTCGCCATCCGATAATCCAAGGTGGTAGTGGACATTATTTGTCATTGGCAAATCATTCCAAATGCGTTTTGTTTTCGAGACTCTGCATGATTTTGCATGGGGGTGTGTCAATATGAGTGATCCCACACCATGGATAATTGATACTACAAACGGTCAATTGTATAGATCCATTGTGCATATTTTTGGGCCAACATTAGATTGGGTAAATAAATAAAGTTATATTCAAGGAAACATGCGTTTTTCCCCGCAACCCGTTTTGCTTTCCCTCGCTGGTGCCTTCAAACATCCCACAAGCATGCGAGTAGAAGCCACAACAATGGTGGAAGAAACCACACAAATTCGTAGCAACCCCAGCAGTGCTATGACTGGTGCGTTCAACTGGTTTGTGTTCACCTTCTTCCGGCGGTCATGATCCCAATTGAGTAGTCACAGGCATTGCGAGCCGAAGTGCAGCGTCTACAAGAGGAAACTGGTTCTTCCAAAGGACGGGGCTTGGACATCCTGCCAGTTTTGGGTCACTTGATGGAGCATGGGGAAGCTCTTAGTGGGGCCATGCCTGCCGTCGCTTTCGTTGTGACTCAATGACTATCATGTTTGCATTCGTTCGGCTTGGGATGCTGAAGATATTGTTTCTTTTGGATTGATTTGGATGAATCAGTTGTTGTACTCTTTACGCACGGATGATTCCAACAGGGCCTGTCCTCGATTTCGGGGCAGAATTTGAAAGCTATCATACCCTGGCAAACTATAGCAGGCCTGAAACACCATCTATTTCCACCCAGAAACATATTTGTTTATTTGAGCCTAGAAGTGAAATATGCTGAAAAAAAGCATGTTTTGCGTTGTGGAACAAATCTTCAAAAATAGCAGGCGTTCTATTTCCCAGTAGAGGGTAGCGTCCACGATGATTCGCTCCTGCTTTGGCGGCCAGAACCACAGCAGCCGGAGACGATCGAGGCCTGCGGAGCGGCAGTCACTGTTGCGGCCCTCCAATTGAGCCATGAAACACACCCTCCGGTGTCATCAGACCAATACAATGGGATGGGATAGGGATAGGGGATGATAGGGGTACCTTTCCCACTGTTGGGTCATTAAAATAAACATGTTGGTCAAGCTCCAAAATTTGATGCTGGCGACGCTTCTTCCTAACCTCTAAGAAGACAGAAGCGTAAATTACATCCCATTTTAGAAGCGGACCTGATTCTTTCCATTTTATCTTGGTGGTGGTTATAAAGTAGACCACCGACCCCAGAATTTGCCAGCTGACACCTGATGCCCCCTTCAATCAAAATTTCGATAGGAATAGCTGGTTAGCTAAATCGCTTCATACCCATTGGCAAAGCTAAGCAATAAATTGTCTGCTTACAATGGAACATGGCTTATTGATAGATTATTGTTCCCTTAAAACCTCCATTTATAGATGTTTTTTCAATCCACATTAAAACCACCATTTATTTATATATATACTGTGTATATATATTTCTTTTTTTTGTCCACATTAAAGGCACCATGTCTAGATGATTCCCCAATGGAAACAGTACCATTTTAATAGAGGTTGCTCAAGTTCCCGGTTCATATAACCACAAAAACGGTGCTGCCAGGTGCTCTTTGCGCTGCCAGGGCCACTAGGATTGGAGTTCCAGGCCCAACAGGCACCGTACATCATCGCCAAGATCCATGACTCGGGCGTGGCCATCAACCTGGGCATCAACGAAGGCCAGTGACCCGGCGCCGGTTTTTTTCAGGTACAACAGGGAAAAACGATCAGAATGGCTGGTTATTGAAGGGGTTTCTATGGAAAATAGCTCATTTATAGTTGATTTATAGATGATTTATGAGGATTTACTACCCAGTTACTGTTTTTCCTTGCCTTCTTCAACTTCCAAAGCTTGTGTACGAATGGAATCCCAACCCCCGGAGAGACCCAGGTCCTTCCAGTAAACTTACATATCATAGACATGGAAAATCCATGAACATCACCATAAGTCTAGATCATTCCTTCGGTAATCCCATGGATTTCCAGGAGATGAGCTGATTTCCGTGGCCGACGAGCCTGTGGACCATGCCAACTGGGAGGTGGGCGTCCCCGAATCAATCATGGCAATGGAAAATCAGCCATAGATGATGCACACACAATTTGTCAAAAAGGGGGAATCATTTCTGCTCCACCTGAATTCCTCACTTTGAGGATTTTTTTTTTAACACATGTGCCCTAAATTAGGTCCTAAATGTTGTGCACCAAATGACTTCCGGTCCGCTAAGGATTTGGTACGCAAGCTCTCGAAGAGGCCAGGGAGAACCCCCTTTTTGTTTCTATGGCAGTGGGTCAGTCGCGCTGCCAGGCCTGTAGTGGGGAAGTTCCGACGCCCGGCCGTCAGCGACAGCGCCGGCGCCACGACGAAGCTTTGGTCCTCGGTGAACTCCATGGGTGCTCAGCTGCTGACGGCAGCGCGAGGTGGGGAACAGTGGGAGCAAAGTAGGACTCTGGATGTAACTGTTATACACATCTTTAAGAATAGCTTATAACTGTTACTAGTAGATATTATTATTATTATTTTATTGTTATTATTATTATATTATCATTATTATTATATATTATTATTAGTATTATTATTATTATATTATTATTATATTATTATTATATTATTATTATATTATTATTATCAAATTATTATTATTATTATTATCAAATTATTATTATTATCAAATTATTATTATTGTTATTATATTATTATTTTTAAATTATTATTATTATATTATTATTAGTATTATTATTATTATTTTATTATTATTTTATTATTATTATTAAATTATTATTATTATTTTATTATTATTATTAAATTATTATTATTATAATATTATTATTATTATATTATTATTATATTATTATTATTAAATTATTATTATTATTATATTATTATTAGTAGTATTATTATTATTAGCATTATTATTCTTATTATTATTATTCTTCTTCTTCTTATTATTATTATTTTATTTTATATTATTAGTATTATTATTATTATATATTATTATTAGTGTTATCATTAGTATTATTATTATTATTTTTATAATTTATTATTATTATTATCATTAGTATTATTATTATTAGTATTCTTCTTCTTATTATATATTATTATTAGTATTATTATTATATATATATGATTATATATGTATATAATATTGGAACATGTCTTTATTGTGGTTCCTTTGATAAATAAGTTACAGTATGGATGTCGATGGGGTGATAATTTGCATCACCAAATGTCTATATCCATATGCAATGAAGATTGTCCTGGATGGGTGTGTGGAATAATTTGCCAACAGTTCTTCCAATGGACGTGTTTTACCATTATTCCTATTATATATCAACAATTCAACAGAATTCCCAGATGAAAAAAGGGGGGTGTTACCCTGTGTTTTTTGTACAATCAGAATTCCGCACATGTTTCTAGGGAGGGGACGAATACCCTATTATGGGTAAAATTGTTGGATCGACCTGGGATGACTGGATAGGCCCAGTTGCTCCCTAGTTCCCAGGGATGATCCTCCATTCGATGATTTTTTTTGATGTATGTACGTTCGGCACAGCTGGTGCAGGGATGATAGACGATCATGGGGCCCAACCCCTTCATATCCAAAGCATGGGGAGATCCTCACCATCGATATCTATGAATCTATGTGAAGATCCATGCAAACAATGATCAAATGGAGGTTTCCTACAATGGGGGCTACACGCTAAATCCGTTTTGACAGGATTTTCATGGATTTTCCATTATAAACCAACCATTTTTGGGGTACTCCTATTTATGGAAAACCCTTAATAAATCTTCAACACTGGTTTATCACAGTGTACAGGGTAAAGCAGCTGGGGAAAATTCCGCAGGCTCAGGCTCTGACGCTTCAGCCGCGGAGCAACTTGGCCAGCAAATTTTGAGCCGGTGATATGAGTTATATGTACGTATAGTAACCCCTAAAGATACAGAACGTTGGTTACTATCCCAGTGGGATTTTACTTGTTTTGTTGGGATTCTTTCGGGTGGTTACCAACATATATATGTACGCATGTGTATATAACATGTATATAATATAATATATAATTATATATATATATATATGGTAATATGCTTGCCAACGGATCATTGATGGGTAGGTATTGGGTAAGTTAAATAAGATCAACACCACTTACTAATTGAGCCGCTCTAAAAACCTCCCTTCACATTTTCAGTAAGGGCCTTGTAATAACGCGTTTGGCGTAAGCAAAACCCTCACTTGCGTAAGGCCGCGTAAGGACTTCGCATAAGGGTTTCCTCAATTTGCTTTGCGTAAGGAAAAACTCTACGCGCGTAAGCATGGCGTAGGGTTTGGCGTACCCAAAATGATACGACGTAGGGAGTGACTGAAGGTTTTCAGAATGGCTCAATTGACATGCAATATTAGTTCATATAGCGGCAGATATGACAATGGTTGATTCATCATATTTCATTACCGTCAATATCATGATGTTTGGTTTCATACTGGCAGATGAACCAGTTAATATGGTAATTAAAGCTAAGGTTAGCTCATAAAGTCGTTGTTTCAGCGTGTCGAAATGTTAACTTCAAAAGGTACGCTTGATAGCTTGGCTGTCAGTATCCTGACCCGCTGGATCAGCCTGGGGCTGCCTTTTTTTTAGGCCAAGAATCTATTCGCTGCACTGGAACAACAAAAATGGAAAATATCCATGGAGAAAAAGTGTGCAGTAATAGTGTGTTGTCCTTCTTGGCAAAGTTGCAGGCTCAAAACTTGTTTTGGTCGGTTCATGACTTCGAAAAAGAAACACATAGAGGACAAGCCAGGCACCGATTGCGATGGTGACAATTTTCCCATCTTCAGTTTACACCTGGCATACCCTCTAGTAAACTAACATAGCTATGTCAAATCACCATCCTGAATAGGTAAATCAAATATAAATGGGCCATTTTCAATAGCTATATTAAATTACCGGAGGGTATCGTGCCCACACAAAAAGGAAAACCTGGAGAAGCCTGGAACTTTGACCTTCACATGGTGGCAGGGCCATGCCCATTTCGATGGGTTCATCTAAATCAATCCATGTATACATGATGTTCACATTCAAGACTGCGATTTTCCTGTCGACCACGTTTGATTACCAAAGGTTATTTGTATATGTGTCAAATTGTTTGAAATATATATAATTATGTGTATCTTTTAAACCATCTCCTGTCCCGTGAAGATCAAATACATCCCGGAAAGCTTGCTTTTGTATTGGAACTATTCATTGTAAAGTGTTGAGAAATGGCAGGAAACTGATGAAATATTTAGAATGTTTCAGAAGATTATTTAGGAATGAACAGAATGAACTGATTTCTGTCAGACATTTCGGACAGCGTTTGGAAACAGATCTACATCATACCTTTTGGTCAAACAAAAATGGAAAATGTGTGTCATCGGTAAATCAATCATAAATGGTCCATCCAAACCATAGCAGACTGTTAATTTACCAAATGCTAGTCATCCTAATCATTCCAATTATATCACGGAAAGTGGTTGGTAATATCCCCATAAAATCCCATTAATTTGGGTAAAACAATCATCAACCATCCCCAAATCACCATTTTTATAGGTGGTATATGGCACATCTGTAACTTAGAATGTGGCTTTGGAAACCGCCGCCCCACCGGAGAAGCCAAAACTCACGTTTTGGGCACCTTCTACTTTTGAAATAATCATCCCACCACGCTATGTGCGAACGGTTTGACACTTAGAATGATGCAAAAACATCATCAAAAAATTCTGCACCGGTCAATTTTTTTTAATTTACTGATATTTAGAAGGTTTTCAACACTTAGAATGTGGTTTCTTCATGTTTCTCCGGGAACAATAGGGGAAAAACAGGCAACATTATAGGGAACAATAGGGGAAAAATAGGGAAATAATAGGGAAACATAGGGAAATAATAGGGAAATAATCTGGTTATATATATGCTTGTAATGCTGAAAGTGTTGACCTTTCACAGGTTTTGCCATCTTTCTGGTATACCACCACACCATACCATACCATACCCTTATCCCAGGATCAGTAGTTACTACAAGTTTCCCCGTGTATTTCCCTAGTTGTTCCCTATTATATCTTGCAAAGACAGTTGGAAGTTGGAACCACTTTTTTGCGGCTGCAAAAATGTTGCAATTCAATTTGTGTGTTTTTGCAGGTTTCATGCATTTAGCATGACCGTCGAAAGGGTAGCAAGTGGATGAACAAAAAAGCGAGAATAATCTGGAAGGGTCATCATTTTTGGGTTTCGATAGTCGTTTTTTGGGAAAATGTCATCAAAAAACAGTGAAATCTAGAATTTTGGTGGGAAATCAAATTATGTGTATTTTTGCAGGTTTCAATCACTTAGCATGACAGTCGAAACAGAGTCATTCTAAGTGTCTAAGTTTATCGTTTTGGAAACCTGGGAGGCATATGGGACAATAATAGGGTAAAATAAGGAATTTATATATAGGGAAATAATAGGGCAAAAATAGGGAACTAAGAGGGAAATAATAGGTAAATAATAGAAACAATAGGGAACAATAGGGGAAAAATAGGGAAATAATGGGGAACAACTAGGGAAATAATAGGAAAATAATAGGGAAATAATCTGGTTATATGCTTGTAACGCTGAAAGTGGTGACCCTTCACAGGTTTTGCCATCTTTCTGGTAAACCACCATACCATACCATACCCTTATCCCAGGATCAGTAGTTACTATAAGTTTCCCCGTGTATTTCCCTAGTTGTTCCCTATTATATCTTGCAAAGACAGTTGGAACCACTTTTTTGGGGCTGCAAAAGTGTTGCAATTCAATTTGTGTGTTTTTGCAGGTTTCATACATGTAGCATGACCGTCGAAAGGGTAGCAAGTGGATGAACAAAAAAGTTAGAATAATCTGGAAGGGTCATCATTTTTGGTTTCGATAGTCGTTTTTTGGGAAAATGTCATCAAAAAACAGTGAAATCTAGAATTTTGGTGGGAAATCAAATTATGTGTATTTTTGCAGGTTTCAAACACTTAGCATGACAGTCGAAACAGAGTCATTCTAAGTGTCTAAGTTTATCGTTTTGGAAACCTGGGAGGCATATGGGACAATAATAGGGTAAAATAAGGAATTATATATATAGGGAAATAATAGGGCAAAAATAGGGAACTAAGAGGGAAATAATAGGTAAATAATAGAAACAATAGGGAACAATAGGGGAAAAATAGGGAAATAGGGAAATAATAGGGAACAACTAGGGAAATAATAGGAAAATCATAGGGAAATAATCTGGTTATATGCTTGTAACGCTGAAAGTGGTGACCCTTCACAGGTTTTGCCATCTTTCTGGTAAACCACCATACCATACCATACCCTTATCCCAGGATCAGTAGTTACTACAAGTTTCCCCGTGTATTTCCCTAGTTGTTCCCTATTATATCTTGCAAAGACAGTTGGAACCACTTTTTTGGGGCTGCAAAAGTGTTGCAATTCAATTTGTGCGTTTTTGCAGGTTTCATACATGTAGCATGACCGTCGAAAGGGTAGCAAGTGGATGAACAAAAAAGTTAGAATAATCTGGAAGGGTCATCATTTTTGGGTTTCGATAGTCGTTTTTTGGGAAAATGTCATCAAAAAACAGTGAAATCTAGAATTTTGGTGGGAAATCAAATTATGTGTATTTTTCAAGGTTTCAAACATTTAGCATGACAGTCGAAACAGAGTCATTCTAAGTGTCTAAGTTTATCGTTTTGGAAACCTGGGAGGCATATGGGACAATAATAGGGTAAAATAAGGAGATTATATATATACATAGGGAAATAATAGGGCAAAAATAGGGAACTAAGAGGGAAATAATAGGTAAATAATAGAAACAATAGGGAACAATAGGGGAAAAATAGGGAAATAATAGGGAACAACTAGGGAAATAATAGGAAAATCATAGGGAAATAATCTGGTTATATGCTTGTAACGCTGAAAGTGGTGACCCTTCACAGGTTTTGCCATCTTTCTGGTAAACCACCATACCATACCATACCATACTTATCCCAGGATCAGTAGTTACTACAAGTTTCCCCGTGTATTTCCCTAGTTGTTCCCTATTATATCTTGCAAAGACAGTTGGAACCACTTTTTTGGGGCTGCAAAAGTGTTGCAATTCAATTTGTGTGTTTTTGCAGGTTTCATACATGTAGCATGACCGTCGAAAGGGTAGCAAGTGGATGAACAAAAAAGTTAGAATAATCTGGAAGGGTCATCATTTTTGGTTTCGATAGTCGTTTTTTGGGAAAATGTCATCAAAAAACAGTGAAATCTAGAATTTTGGTGGGAAATCAAATTATGTGTATTTTTGCAGGTTTCAAACACTTAGCATGACAGTCGAAACAGAGTCATTCTAAGTGTCTAAGTTTATCGTTTTGGAAACCTGGGAGGCATATGGGACAATAATAGGGTAAAATAAGGAATTTATATATAGGGAAATAATAGGGCAACAATAGGGAACTAAGAGGGAAATAATAGGTAAATAATAGAAACAATAGGGAACAATAGGGGAAAACTAGGGAAATAATAGGGAACAACTAGGGAAATAATAGGAAAATCATAGGGAAATAATCTGGTTATATGCTTGTAATGCTGAAAGTGGTGACCCTTCACAGGTTTTGCCATCTTTCTGGTAAACCACCATACCATACCATACTTATCCCAGGATCAATAGTTACTACAAGTTTCCCCGTGTATTTCCCTAGTTGTTCCCTATTGTATCTTGCAAAGACAGTTGGAACCACTTTTTGGGGCTGCAAAAGTGTTGCAATTCAATTTGTGTGTTTTTGCAGGTTTCATACATGTAGCATGACCGTCGAAAGGGTAGCAAGTGGATGAACAAAAAAGTTAGAATAATCTGGAAGGGTCATCATTTTTGGGTTTCGATAGTCGTTTTTTGGGAAAATGTCATCAAAAAACAGTGAAAACTAGAATTTTGGTGGGAAATCAAATTAAGTGTCTTCTTCAAGGTTTCAAACATTTAGCATGACAGTCGAAACAGAGTCATTCTAAGTGTCTAAGTTTATCGTTTTGGAAACCTGGGAGGCATATGGGACAATAATAATAGGGTAAAATAAGGAAATTATATATAGGGAAATAATAGGGCAAAAATAGGGAACTAAGAGGGAAATAATAGGTAAATAATAGAAACAACAGGGAACAATAGGGGAAAAATAGGTAAATAATAGGGAACAACTAGGGAAATAATAGGAAAATCATAGGGAAATAATCTGGTTATATGCTTGTAACGCTGAAAGTGGTGACCCTTCACAGGTTTTGCCATCTTTCTGGTAAACCACCATACCATACCATACCATACCCTTATCCCAGGATCAGTAGTGCCTATAAGTTTCCCCGTGTACTTCCCTAGTTGTTCCCTATTATATCTTGCAAAGACAGTTGGAACCACTTTTTTGGGGCTGCAAAAGTGTTGCAAGTCAATTTGTGTTTGTTTTTGCAGGTTTCATACACTTAGCATGACCGTCGAAAGGGTAGTAAGTGGACGAACAAAAAAGTGAGAATAATCTGGAAGGGTCATCATTTTTGGGTTTCGATAGTCGTTTTTTGGGAAAATGTCATCAAAAAGCAGTGAAATCTAGAATTTTAAATTATGTGTATTTTTGCAGGTTTCAAACACTTAGCATGCCCACGAAACCGAGTCATTCTAAGTGTCTATGACAAAAGTTTTGGAAACCTGGAGGTCATTCTAAGTTACAGATATGCCATATATAAACCATTCCCACATGGCAAATTACCTAAGCCTAAACCCAAGCCAGGAACGAGCGCTTGCGCTCAGAGCTGCTAAGCGCACAAGAGCTCCTGAAGCTGAAGGTCCAAGGGGTTTTCAGTTGTTTTTTCCCCCTACCAATTGATGAATGATTTAACTTTCAAAATTTGGTGATTTAACATGGTTGCCAATGAAGATAGTGAATTTAATCCCCGAAAATTACTATTTGATCACTTAACTCACTTAACATGGTGATTTTATATGGATTTAATGGGGATTGAATGGTGATTTTGATGATTTGTAATCATGTCAAGAGGGAACATGATGAGCAACCTCTCATTTGGTTCTACTGTATGTTTGGCAAAACCTTACATATTTGGAGAACAACTAAAATGGATACAAACTAAAGATTTAAATTCTAGCTTTGGCTTAGGGGTTGAACATGACCCAGTTATAGCGACCCCGGAAAAGACGCTGATTTTAAATATCCGAGTCTAAAAAATTAGAATTAGAGGTAAATGGAACCTGTTCTACCATTTGCTTGGTTCTTACTATAAATGACTGCTTTAAACAAGCAAGTTATCATCCCATCTCCTTTATTCCACTATTTGATGGATCATTCTTGGCGTAACCTCCCAATCTCTGTGAATTCTCACCTTTTGTTCCGCATCCTGGTGGATGGTTCAGGATTCCCAGCTGATAGACTCTGAGAGTCGCATCAAACAAAAGGAGGCGCGGGCTGGTTGGGGTTCCCAAGAGTTCGACCCCTTGAACCACCCAGTGGTGAACGGAGGGGGGCGTTTCGGAACGTTGGGGTATCCCGGATCCGGAACGGGAAGCCAGTTGGAGCGACGAATTGAGTTATTGAGTTTCCCAACCCCATGGGGCAGCGAAGTTGATGACTCTTAGCATTTTGTTGCTGATGACCATGATAGAAGGGGTGCCTTTCTTTGGCCTTGGTGACAATTAGGATCAATTCATTAGGTATTGTGATGTGTCACTTGTCCATTTTTAATTGAGCAAAAAGATTGTTTATTAATCCAGGGTTGACATGAATGGCGGTACTGTACATTTTTTTGTTCATAGGATTAACCATCTAAAATTGGGGTCTCATAAACATCAACAGCCCAGCCCCCAACTATGATTTGGAGGAACCATGCTTCAAACATCTTCCAACTTGTGCAGTGATCAGCAGGATGCCAGGGTGCTGGTGGCTGGGTGCCATGTCCAAGTTCTAACCCTTACAACTTGGATGATGCTTCAACATGACTAGCATGTGACAGCATATGTTAAATTTGGGGACCGCTTAATCAGCAAGCAAAACATTGAATTGGCCCAGCACCACCAAGCCTCACACATGAAGACACATGTATTTGGGTGAGATAAAGCAATCTATTCTGATGATTTCTCAGATTCGCTTGATCTAACAGGTTTCTATTGAGGAAAAACGCGCATTGAATTGTTTGTATTGATCATTTACTACTAATCTGTCCTAGAGTACATTGACATGGATATGAATCATATGAACACCTATTTGTACATATGTGTTTCAAACATCTTGGAACCATCACCGACCATTAGCGACCAATCACTGCCATAGCTATAATAAATCAGTCATACCCATAGCACCATTTAAGAAGTTCAAGGTGGTTATATCCTATGGCGTGGTTAAACCCATGAAATCCCGTTAAATCACAATCCAATGAAATCACATGAAATTCCCATTTGTTGATGTTCCCCACGTTGCTGTCCCTTGTGCCCACAGGAGGCCCTTCACGTGGCCCTGCGCGCCAGCGGCGGGACTGCTGGCGCTGGCACCGCGGGGATCGCGGCGGAGTTGGCGGAGGAGAAGTCGCGGCTGTGCTGCGGCGGCACGGGGTCAGAAAATGTTGCTCCTACCGATTTCTGGGCTCCAGTTGTATATCGGCAGCTGCACTTTCATTGTAGCATTGGGGGCTAACATCTGAATCTAAGTCATCCATACATCAACCTCAAACAATCTTGTTGATAACTTGGGGGTGTTTGAAAACAGAGTTTCGCCCTCAATTTTGATGGTTTATCATCATTTATCCTGTTGAGGCCCTTTTCGGGGCATCTCCCATATTCAGACACTGCCATTCATTGTCCCTCCTTTGGTTTGCCGAGTGACGAAGTTCAAGGATAATTTTAAGTGAACACAATGTACTTGTACTGTAAATGTGTAATGCTATTGCATTTTGGATATAAACAAAATTGCTAGATGGGAATTTCACGATCCTAGAATGGAGCTACTGTACTATATAATTCCTTATAATATAAGACTATAATCCTTATAATATAAGGCTATATAAGGCATTATAAGGCTATACTTTGTGGGGATATTGCTTACGAAGACCTTACATAGACCTTACAGTAAATAGATCAGTACATTTGAATTAGGTACCTGAAATATGTCTTGACTTATGCTAGATTAGTGTTGGATATCTTACCTTGTACATGACACCCAGGCAACTACAAAACAAAACGATCCTGGTGTGCTATAGCGATTGGTGACCATCTATGTCCAAATCAAAATCATACCCTTGACTGGGTGATTAGAAATGACCTCGCAAATGTGTCACCACAGTGATTTAGCTGGTAGAATCTCTGCCAAATGACCTTATCCCAGTCTGTGAACAAATATGACTCGGAGGGGCGAATCTGGATATCAACTGACTTTACCACGGTACTCTTCAAGCAATATAAAAAGATGGTTGTTTTTTGCAGCGTCACTTGATAATACGTGGACGGGGAAGCTCTCATCATCAATATTCCTCAAACGTGGATTTGTTGATTCCACCCTAAGACAAGGATGTTATGTTCTCCTTCATAACACCAATATCCGTCCTGGTGAAAGGATGAACTTTGCCCAAAACAAAGAGATACGTAAATACTTAGAAGGAGTGTGTTGGATATATGATATACGCAAAAATCCAATTATCTATATTTTCCCTTCCTTCTTTAAAAACATGTATGGCAAACTTCCAAAAGATACAGAACAGATGAACAGCTTCAAAATCATCACTACATATTGAACTCCAGTAGAATTATATGTTGCTAAGAACAGCTTTCAATGTATCACCAACTATTTGTGCATCAGATTTCCCTAAAGCAGCGAAAACCGATGTACTCTCCGGCAATCAAACATGCCTAGCTAGAATAACTCCCATTCTCATGCATTTTCCTAGATTTTGTAGATGAATTTTCCACATGTTCGCATTAAAACCTCCTGTGGCCGGATTTCCCCACGGTTTTTTGCCCAGGCAGCAGCAGCTGCAACACTTCGAGTCCCAGCTGAGAGAGGCGCAACGACAGGTGGCACAGAGGCAACGTGGCCGACGTGGCCGACGTGGCCGGTTGGATTCAATGGACTGGTTGGGAATTTATGGGATTCTATGGTTAATCTATGGTTAATCTATGGTTAATCTATGGTTAATGTATGGTTAATCTATGGTTAATCTATGGTTAATCTATGGTTAATCTATGGTTAATCTATGGTTAATCTATGGTTAATCTATGGTTAATCTATGGTTATCTATGGTTTATCTATGGTTATCTATGGTTTATCTATGGTTATCTAATCTATGGTTAATCTGGGTTAATCTATGGTTAATCTATGGTTAATCTATGGTTATCTATGGTTTATCTATGGTTAATCTATGGTTAATCTATGGTTAATCTATGGTTAATCTATGGTTAATCTATGGTTAATCTATGGTTAATCTATGGTTAATCTATGGTTAATCTATGGTTAATCTATGGTTAATCTATGGTTAATCTATGGTTAATCTATGGTTAATCTATGGTTAATCTATGGTTAATCTATGGTTAATCTATGGTTAATCTATGGTTAATCTATGGTTAATCTATGGTTAATCTATGGTTAATCTATGGTTAATCTATGGTTAATCTATGGTTAATCTATGGTTAATCTATGGTTAATCTATGGTTAATCTATGGTTAATCTATGGTTAATCTATGGTTAATCTATGGTTAATCTATGGTTAATTTAATCTATGGTTAATCTATGGTTAATCTATGGTTAATCTATGGTTAATCTATGGTTAATCTATGGTTCTATGGTTAATCTATGGTTAATCTATGGTTAATCTATGGTTAATCTATGGTTAATCTATGGTTAATCTATGGTTAATCTATGGTTAATCTATGTTAATCTATGGTCAATCTATGGTCAATCTATGGTTAATCTATGGTTAATCTATGGTTAATAACAATATGATCAATATATCTGGTTGGTGGTTTGGAACATGAAGTTAATTTTTCCATAGATTGCCCTATGAATCCAAACACTGTCTGAGAAGGTACTTAACCCATCTTAACCCATCCTAATCCTCTAAATCATACCCCAAGTACTTCCTAAGAAGGTACTTGGATCCATAGGGTTGGGAATAAGAATCCCAACTGACTTTCATGTTTGTCAGAGGGGTAGGTATACCACCAACCAGACAGAAAGCCCCATAGAAAAAAATGGGAAAATCAATGGTTTCCTGCAGGATTTTCCGGACTGAAAACCAATCCATTGTTGGATGAGGTTACCCTCTGGTAAACTAACAGTTTGCTATTGAACATGGCCATATAAATAGTTGATTTACACAAAAACAAGTGGTGATTTTCCATAGTTGTGTTAGTTTACCAGAGGGTAGTGCAAACTTGGCAAAACCACAAGGTCATAGGGGAAATGATATGAAATTTTGTCGTCATCATTATCAACACCGAGCGCGTATACGGCTCGTTCCTGATATTCCTGACATAGCATGACGGCAGGACGGAGGAGTCCTTGCGGTACCGAGCCAGCTATGAAGAGGAGGCAAGGCAGAAGGAGGAGCAGCGGCCACTTGTCATGGAGGAGCTTGGTGGTACTGTGGCACCCAGGAACGCTCACAGTGAACATGTTTGGGTAGCTAAGCGATTTGTTCTTTAAGCTAGGCACGCAGTTTCACACACATATATATATATATTATGTGCATGTTTCTCAATAATATGCACTATACACTTGAATGTATACATACATATATGCGTGTGTAGTTTTACAGATATAGCGCACATGTTTTTGGGATGTTGTATAGTCACATTTAAGCAATGTGGTTTTGGTTAGTCCAAATTTCTTAGCTGTCTGGACCGTGCGGATTGATTCGCACTGGCCACCATGTTTTCTCTCGTGTCTCATCATTTTGCCGGTCCCACCATCAGGGATCGAGTCGAAATATATATATATATTTTTTTTTGTTTGTTTACTATTTATTTGATTATTTATTTGTTTGTTTAATTGTGCAATTATTTGTTTGTAAGTGATCCAAGTAGGGCACTATGACTTTCTACCTAATACTTCAAAGAGCTTTTTTCAGGGTGTTTGACAGGACAAGTAGGGCACAAAACATCTGGATGTCGGGTGGTCCGGCCCCTGAGACGTGCTGAGACGAGGCAAACGTCCATCTCCCTGCAAGATCGCTGCAATTCCTTGATGAAACAATTTGAAAGTCCCTTGGATCAGTTGGATCAGTTGGATCACGTTGGACAAAAAGTCAACGTATTCTACAGCAGCATCCACCAGCCCCAAAATCACTTTGTTTATCGATATGTGATATAAACTAAACCATCAATACGTTCTCTGACTTTGAAATGGGAACCCCTATGTTCTCCGAATGTCGGTAAGGTTTAACTGTTCAACCAATCAAAAGGTAAATCGTGGCCACGGGATGTTACCTTCTTCAGTTACAGTATTATGTCTGGTTGGTGGTTTCAAACATATTTTTATTTTCCATTTCATATATGGGATGTCATCCTTCCCATTGACGAACTCATATTTTTCAATATAGTTATTGCACCACCAACCAGATGTTCATAGTTGGGATGTTACCTACCCCCCAATCACGCTACAATCCAATCACTGTATATGTGGCTGGACGGCTCAACCAGCAAGCAACTTGCCATAGCTGTTGCCATAACTCTACAATGTCTAAAACATCCACCAAGCACTTACCCTCCAGTACACTAAGTTACTGGGTAACTAAGTTAACTATGAAACCTCACCATTGTTTGTGTCGGTAAATCAACTATGGCAATGTTCGCTATTAGTTTGGGGGTGTAGGTAGCATAGCCGCATAGCCATCCAACTTCGCTGCGATCCCATCGCCAGGCTTAAGCGCTACCTGCCAAAATCTCACCATGGACTCGCAACAAAAGGCTGGCTTGGAAGGTCAGGTGGCCGAACTTCTACGGATGAACGCCCAATGGCACCTCGATGCAAACGACTTGGAAGTCTGGAAGTGATTTTCTGTATGACCCTCTGGTGTAAAATGGGATATTCATGAGTGACTATCCATTATGGGGACACATATATAATGGTAACTTGATGGAATATTGATGGGATTTAATTGGATTTAATGGGATACTAGCACCTCAGAAATCTCAAGAATAGCGATTGCATGAATTGCATGGGCTATTTTTCTGGGGTTTAACGGGGATTTCTCAGCAACCAACTATTACAGGGGGGGGGTGCTATGGAGAATCCCTGGGAGAATCATCAAACTACCCGGCCTGGTTATGTCAAAATAGCTATTGAAAATGGCCATTGATTTCGTGAGTTTTCCTATGAAAAATGGTGGATCTTTCCATATTTTTCTGTAAACGTTTACCAGGCCGGGTATCCGGCTGGTGGATTTTCCAGCCATGGAGCTGATGACTGGAGGTCAAAGATGTCAAATATCCAACAAACATTGGAGCATAAGTCATAGAACTTTTTTACGATTGAATCGTCAGAGAAAAATGGTGTTTTAACAATTTTAATAATCCCTTCCTCCTAATACTAAACGTCCCCCTAATACTAAAAACAGGCATCCATCTCCAATTTCCGAAAATTTCAGTTTGGCCAATTTGACTTTTAATTGATCCCCTTTAAAAAACAATTTAAAAATCAACCTACCATTTGTGGGTTCTCCCCCCTAATACTAAAAACTAGTTCACCCCGGGGTGTTTAGTATTAGGGGGGCCTAGTCCCAATCCCTCACTCCAAGCTGCCTGGCTACTCTAGCAATTAGGGGTAAGCTTCGAACTGCCATTTTTGGCAATATTTTAATTGCGTTATATAAGGAAATTTAATTGATTTTGAGATCGGAAAAAATAGTTTTTAGTATTAAGGGTTTTAATTTAGTATTAGGGGTAAGCTTCGAACTGCCATTTTTGGCAATATTTTAATTGCGTTATATAAGGAAATTTAATTGATTTTGAGATCGGAAAAAATAGTTTTTAGTATTAAGGGTTTTAATTTAGTATTAGGGGTAAGCTTCGAACTGCCATTTTTGGCAATATTTTAATTGCGTTATATAAGGAAATTTAATTGATTTTGAGATCGGAAAAAATAGTTTTTAGTATTAAGGGTTTTAATTTAGTATTAGGGGTAAGCTTCGAACTGCCATTTTTGGCAATATTTTAATTGCGTTATATAAGGAAATTTAATTGATTTTGAGATCGGAAAAAATAGTTTTTAGTATTAAGGGTTTTAATTTAGTATTAGGGGTAAGCTTCGAACTGCCATTTTTGGCAATATTTTAATTGCGTTATATAAGGAAATTTAATTGATTTGAGATCGGAAAAAATAGTTTTTAGTATTAAGGGTTTTAATTTAGTATTAGGGGTAAGCTTCGAACTGCCATTTTTGGCAATATTTTAATTGCGTTATATAAGGAAATTTAATTAATTAATTAACATGACTTCGATTTGGTTCCCTAATAATAAATACCCCCCTAATACTAAAAACTACCTGCCGTGTTTTGTATTAGGGGGGGGGGGGTTTAGTATTAGGAGGAAGGGATTACCTCAATTTGCTGAGTCGCTTATGTTTGTAACTGCCCCTTAGTTAATTCTACAGTTTGAGGAATTTCCCGGGAATCTGTTTCTGTTTAACAAATTCAGGGACAACACTAATATAGAAACAAACTAATTGACTTTTTCAATACACATCACATGTTTCTTTGTTCAGGCAAATTTTGGATGGCTTGCCTCCAAACATGCTAAAGCTGGATCTAAAACAGGTTGGAGAGGGTTGGGAAGTGGGCTGCAAAGCTCAACCCGTCATCACTGCCAATAGGCAGAGCCAGCCATGGGCCTTTGTCACTGAGAGACGGACCTGTTTGATTCCCCAATGAAATCATGGCGAGCTCAAACTTTAGCGCATAATTTTGTAGAGGCCAATAGCAATATATAGCAATTGTAGATAGAGAGATTGACTGGCTTAGACTCGCCTCGGTTCAATTAGATACAAAGATGAGAAAGCTAGATGCACGACCCAGACTTAGACCTTCAATCCCTTCAAGTTCCTCAAGCAAAAGAACAAGTTCCAGGTGGTGGAATAACAGCAGTTTGGGTAATTACATTAAATTGAAGGTCGGAGGCCGCTATATGCATGTAAAATGCATATACATACATCCCATGTTTTCCCATGTGTCGAACTCCCAAACAGTCGTCCTCTGTCTCCAGGCAACACGCGCACTCGAGCCTCAATGCCGAGTCCGAAAGCATGCGCCAACGCCTGATGCAGGTGGACGAGCTGCTGCATGGCGAGTCGCCCGTGGGGAGGGAAACCCTTAGAGAACCTAAAGACATATTACCCTCTGATAAACTAACATAGCTATGGAAAATCACCATGTTTGATAGGTAAATCAACTATAAATGACCATTTTCAATGGTTATGTTAAATTACCAGAGGGTATATTGATTTAGTATGATTTAGTGATGAATTTTCATGGAATAATCATGATATTTAGTGGGAATCAATGGGACATAAACATACATATCAAATCATATACACCTATTTAGACATAGTCATAGTGATTTGTCATGGAATATCAACGGACTATAAATTTGATTTAAAGGAATATTAATACTCAACAAAAAGTGTTTTACTGGGATATGCATGGGTTTAGATCGGAAATTTGTAGCCAACATGTGGGATGTCATTTTTTGCGATATTCATGGGTCACTATCCCTATGTATGGATGAAAAGAATATGGTGATTTCATGGAAGTTAATGAGACATTAATATTCAAAACATGTGACCTCTCCTGGGATATGAATGAGATTTACAGTAATGGGGATATAACTAACCAACTTTGTTTTTGGGTAGCTTACTGTATGAATGGAGTATTAATGGACTATTTCTATCTAATACCTGTGGGTGAAACCTGGGAAGGTTTCTAGCTGGGAACATCAGCGAACTATAAATGGGTGATTTTCCAGCAAGTCATGTTTGGTTACTGGAGGGTAATAGGGCTGATGTACCCATTAGTAAGGCGCTTTATAACAAAAAACAATATGTCCACGGTAGGCATATGGAACTAGTCAATGGGCGAAAAAAAAAGCCAACAAACATAACTGTGGCACCACATCGTAGTACTGTGGTAAACCCTGTCATGTCAGAAACCTATACTATATACCATCTGGGGATATTGTCAGATCGGGGGTGGATAGTTAAGTCTGTGACTGCGCTCTCGCAGATGGAGAGAGGGAGAGAGAGAGAGTTAAGTGGGGGGAACCTTGTGTGAATAGTTGAGCGGTTGGATATGCATAATAAATAAATATACATATATATATACATATATATTATTTGTTTCTACATATTCATGTTGTTCCACTATCCCCATAATTACATCAAAAATCTTCAAACATTGCCGGATGCCTAAGATTGGTCAGTTTTCTTAGTGACGAAGCACCATCCATCAAGGGGGTGGTCACCGTTGTCACCTGCCGGGAGTTGATCCGAGGCAACTGGAAGTGCGTCGCTTGGAACCTTTCGAAGCCGCAGTGAGGGACATGGAGACCCGCTTGCAGGAGACTGAGCAGAGTCGCTGGACAACGCTGCGAAACCGGGGATGATTTGTTCAAAAAAGGACACGGGGAAACCTTGGATGGGTTTGTACTGGTATTATTGCCGTGGTAATTTAACATACCTATTGAAAATGGATGAACATGGCCCATGTCTAGTTGATTTAGTTATTACCAACGGTGATGTTCAATAGTTTTGTTAGTTTACCAGATGGGACACGATATTCAATATATGTTCATGCATTGAGAAATTAATCCACTAAGACTTGACGATAAATATGGCTTGTCTTTCAGGCTTTGAGTATTTGTCATCCTATTTCAGATGCTGGGGACCCAACTTGACTGATGTTGGGAGAGAGAGAGAGAGAGCTCAAGTACTATTTAGTATCTACCTACTTAAGTATATACACATTCAAAAAAACATGGGATTACTATGATCATATTATATCATCATTTCTAGATGTTTTTATTTGCATGAATGACATCAGTTTTTGTGTTTTTGTCATATGCTCCCTGACCATATAAAATGGCACCGAAAATGGCCCATGTACCTACTACAAGTTCAATGGTCCGTATCTATGGAACAGATTAGCCACTGACCGCTAGGGTGGTGCCTCCCAGTTATGTTTGTTGCTTCTATTCTTTTGGGATGAATATAGATACATCTCGCAGAACTTCATAAACCCAAGAGTTTTTGGAATTATAACTCAACTTAGCGGGCATCGCCTTGTACTTAATTTAGATGTTCCCCATTATATACCCAATACATAACCAGTCACTCATGATACCACCATTTTTGTTGGTTAAATCCAAGTATTGGTTGGCTAAATCATGATTCTTACCTGATCAAATCAGGTTGAATCGGCAAAATTTCGGCTGAAATCAGCATTTTTCCTCGTTAGATCCCCATTTCTATTGGTTCAACTCCCACTTCTTCGTGGCCGAGGCTTAGACGAGCACCGCCAGGCGCTGATCGAGGCACAACAGCTGCGGAGCCACGACAGTGGCGCGGTGCAACGGCTGCAGCTGGAAATGGAGTCCTTGCAAGAGACGCTTGGATCGCAGCGATGGGAGCTGGATGATTGGGAATATATTTCAGCACTCAACCACTATTTCATGAAAAGCTGGATGGTTTTATTGGAATAGCACTCTTCAACCATTTGCAAGCACTATTTCATCAAATGCTCGGTGTTTTTGTGGGAATATATATATATGAATATATGACATTAGGAGTCCTTGGTGATTTCTATGGGAATAGCTACTGGATATCACCATAAAGTGGTGGTTATCATGATAAAATCATGATGTTTCTGATGTTGATATGGTGATAACATGTTCAAAGGCCATATCAAGAACCTAAATCAGAGGTACCGTACCTGAGGTACCTACTATGTATAAGACCGATGTAAGGGGATATAATATCTCCCCATAAAATATGGCCTTATGTGGTACAGTACCTCTATTTTTAAGATCTTGAACGATTCCCTATTTCGCATAATGTTTATATCCAAGTTTACAAAGCCCACACACACACACATATATAAACACACTTATTTCCATTCAGGGGATATGGACTAGAACCATTTATGTCCAAAATATATCCAAGTTTATATCCAAAAAATACTTCAGGGGATGGGTTCAATGCCCCTTTTTGGTTCCCATCCCCTCCCCGGTGGTTCTATCGCCAAGGAGCTCCGAGTCGCAGGTCAGCCAGCTGGAGGCGGAACTCATGGAGTCCAGCAGTGCCAAGGCGACCCGGGACATCCGTGTTGGAGGGAGCTGCAGCGGCTGCATCGTAGGCGATTTCCATGGGATTTAGCTTCAACGAATGGGGATTGTTCAATATTTTTCATGGGATTTAACATAGGTAAGTGGTGATTTTCCCCATACTTTCTGGCAATTTAATGGGATTATATAAATGGGATGATTTAATGGGATTTCCCCTCTGGTAATGGATTACATGGCTACGGAAACACAACTTTGAATGATGGTTTAGTCATCAACAAATGGGGGATGTAATGGCATTTGTATAGTGCGATTTACCCTCTGGTAATTTAACAGATTTCTTTGGAGGACCGCCATGTTGTTTCATACTGTAGGTCAATCATGGTCAATCATTTAGTGTGGCAGGGCCATCTTCACCCATTATCCATAGTTCTGTTAAAATATCGGAGGATACGTTTATATTACTATCCAGTGGTGAACGGAAGGAGTGGTTTGGAGCTAGGATATGAGATATTACCCGTACCCGTTCCATGGATTCAAGAGATATCGCCCTGATAGATTGGCACTCTCTCCTGGAATGAATAGCAACCCAAACCACGCACTGTTAGGTACAAATGAACAGAACACATGTGATGTCATACCTGGTTCCTTTGGGGAAACCACCATTTATTTCTGGTTCTTTGTTGTTCGGGATTCCAGGTTAAATAATGTCATAACATGTCATACCTGTCGCTCCATAAATGCTTAGGACATTTTTTTTGGTGCATGGCATGAGCAGCCGGAAGTAAGACACCAACACGGGCAATTGTCGCACGGGTTCAATGGTGATGACATCATGATCTAAAACTTGAATCAAGGCCACACATATGAAAAGGCAGAGTAGTCCAACAGGTTTGGGACCCTTAGAAATAGTTTCTGGCCTACCGACCTGTCAAGAGTGCAGGAAGCTATTGTATGACAAACCAGATTTTTGCAATACCCGAAACCTATGAGAAACTGAACACATAATAAACCGTTTCGACGGTCAAACAAACGAACAAATCATGAATAACTTATACACATGTAAAATAGTATGACAACATATGTATACAGTGTGAACAAATATACAATATCCGCATATATAGAACCATACATTCAAGAATTTACAGAGAATAAATAAATGATTGATTGCATACACATATATATAATTCTATTTCTTAATGTTAAATAATAGTTCCATATAATTCATGATGATTCTATCATGTGGTTGGGAAACTCTAAGTAGCTCCTCGGCAAGGGACTCGATCTTAGAAGTCACTTTCCAGCTAGCATATCCTGACTGCGCTGACAACACAGGAGTGTTATTTTACTCCTGAACTCCTGGGAAGGTCAGATTGCAACGCGAAAAGGACGACCTTCAACGCCGAATGGAGGCACCAGTCGTTGGATGAGTCATGTCACAAGATATCACACCCGAAAGCGTATTTTGACTGGTTGGTGGTTTGGAACATGAATTTTAGTTTTCCATATCTTGGGAATTTCATTATCCCAGCTGACTAACTCATATTCTTCAGAGGGGTAGGTATACCACCAACCAGTTGATCGTGCGCCCTTTGGCTGGTCCCATGGCGGGTCAGCGTACGAATCGTGGACATCTCAGGATGCACTAATAGGGACTATAAGCTGCCCAGTGCCCAACGTTGCTTGAGATTTGTACAGCAGAGCTGAAAGGTTTGACATTGCGCAAAGTTGCTCCAATCAACACAGGTAAATGATCACTTGCAGAAGCAGAAAGTTGCGATTTTGCTAATGTTATCTCACCAAACTCATCAAAGTTTGACCTGTTAAAGTCAAAAAATCTTTGGGGAATACTGATAAACATACCTGAATACACAACTTCCAGAGGTCAATCTTAGCCGAAAGGGCTTCACGTCTGGACCTTTTGGGGACCCAGGAGCTGCTACAGAAGCAGCAGGAGACCTCTGAAGCCGCGGAAGATCTCACGAGCCTCCGCCTGGAGAAGCTCGACAAGCTCGACATCGCCCAGGGCGAAGAAAATGGGGTGAAACATGGGTGAAACATGGTGAAATGATGTTAATATATGTTAATATATGATATAAATTTGTATAATATAGATGTTATGTTATATGTGCTATATATTGCTATATAATATTATGATTTAAATATCATCGTGTTATGCGTCATATAGGTGTTAAATGATGTCAATTATTATGTTACACACATTTGAGATGTAACACACACACACACACGTTATATATATATATACAATAATCAATCTTCTCTCCCTATTACTAACCCCCCAAAATGGTAAACACGGTGATCTATTTTTATTACTAGGGGGTATTTTGTATTAGGGTTCCAATGATCATAAAAATAAAAACTTGATTTCAAATTTCATTGAATCCCTGATTAAAATCTACATAAGATATTGCCAACAACTGGATTTCGAAGCTTTCCCATAGTATTCCAATGAACACCTTAATAATAAAAAGTAAAACTTGTGAGATGGGACCCTAATGAAAAAACATCCAGGTGGCAATCTATTTTTATTAATAGGGGGTTGAACCCATTGTTTCACAATCCTGTTCTCCTATTGATTCTCAATTACCACAATTAAGAATCCAATTGTGCCCAACCAAAAAAACGGAAGTGCCACACCAACCCGGTTCTATATATATATACACACCAGATATGTATATATAGATATGTAGAAATGGAAACTGAGAACTGGATGAACTGGATGACATTGGGAAACAACAAGTAGATGAACAACCTACCATCAACATGAAAATCTAGATTTTCTGAGTCAGTGACTTCAATGTTTTTTATTTATATAATACTGTCACTCAAAATGTTCAAATTCGTCATGATGTGATCAATGAATCTGGTTGTTTGAAGAGGAAACCTGCGCGGTCATAGAATCGAATTTGGTGGAGTGGTTATAAAAATGAGTATATACCCAAATCTGGTTCGATAGGTCATTTTTTTCCACAGAATCTTTCTAACATGGAGGCCACAAATAGCCGCCTCGAATTGGAGAATCGATTGGCACACCTTTATGGCGACCTCATAGTTTCTTTACTTTTGCTTCAAGATTAATTAGATTATATATATATATATATCATATTTTACTTTATCGGATTGATGAAATCAGATTATATCAAATTGTTCATCAGATTCTATCAGATTACATGTGTTTTAGAGGTTGAAGTCAGTACTAGTTGAAGTCAGCTGTTTTTTTTTCAAATTTGTGCGTTCAGGAACAAGAAGTTGCACCAGGAGTTGGCCATGGCTCAGGAGAGGATGGTCACGACGTTTTTCGCGACGCATGCATGGATGATTTGATATTACCCTCCGGTAAACGTTTACATTTCATTACATTTCTATGGAAAGATCCACCATTTTTAATGGGTAAATCCACTATAAATTTTCAAATGTATAAATGGCCATTTTCAATAGCAAACTGTTAGTTTACCAGAGGATATTCAAGACAATTACGTAGTTTGGGACACAAATGATAAACGGTTGAGTGTCTCATCTAGAAATGGAGGTTGAAAAAACTGAGAAAATCATTGATTGGAAAACATATCAATGGGAAACCCAATGCCAGAAACAACTGCCCGACTTGGGGATGGCAATCATTACGGCCAGCTGGTGTTTGCTGCACCCATAAACATGGTGATGTTGGTTCACGCGGAAACAACCAAACTTGTGAATTGAGTAACCCAAATTGGATGGTTTCAGATCCTAGCAATGACTCCAAAAAATTAAGGGTCCCGAGTCCCGATCCCAAAGGGGCACCTAAGGCCCTTATGGTGGAAATCCTTTTGACAAAAACACGGTCAGATACGAAGATCATTGTCCATTGGGTCAACAAGCGAACTTCCTTGGATTTGGTTGGTGTTCTAGAGTGTCAGCCATGGTTCATCCTTAAAGTGGGATGATTACCCTTTGGTAAACTAACATAACTATGGAAACTCACCACTTTTAATAGGTAAATCCACTATAAATGGTCATTTTCAATAGCTATGTTAAATTACCAGAGGGTATCCGATGTTTGACATTCATGTTTGTGGATGTTTGTGGGAATGGGTTGTCTAGGGTTGCCACCTCACATTGTGACGTCACTTTCCACGTGGGTGCATGTAGGGGCAACAATGCAACATGCTTGCGATCATACTAACCCCCACAAGGAATCAACCAGATAGAAAAGTAACTGTCAGTGCCACACAAATCTTTTGCATGGAATTTTACTGTTCTTGCTTTTTGTTTGTTGCTATACTTACTGACTAGGGAATGGCGGAATGGGATGTTCAATAGTTAGTATGGACCATTCCCCTATGCCGTACGAAGCACCAGTAAGAACAAATTGTCACATTTGCGTGATTCACAGGGAATTCATGTTTGTTTTGTGTTTCACCCATGTTTTTGTTGTTTTCTTTTTGGTTGGTGCTATATTTGCAGTGATATTTTTGGTGTCGACGCTGTTAAGAGGCCGTGTGCTGTCTCCATTTTTTCGGTTTTGTGTGTTCTTCTTGTCATTGTGATTGTGAACCGGGTGGGGGGGGGTGGGGGGGGTGGGGGGGGATGTTAACGTTCTTTGCGACTGCAAGGTTCTCTTGCACTTCCACACATACGTCATGCTACGCTACTGCTAGTTTCTCTTGCACATTCACACATACGTCGTGCTACGCTACTGCTAGTTTCTCTTGCACATTCACACAAACGTCATGCGACGCTACTGCTAGGTTTCTCTTGCACATTCACACAAACGTCATGCTACGCTACTGCTAGGTTTCTCTTGCACTTCCACACATACGTCATGCGACGCTACTGCTAGGTTTCTCTTGCACTTCCACACATACGTTATGCGCGGTACTGCTAGTTTTTCTTGCACATTCACACATATGTCATGCTACGCTACTGCTAGTTTCTCTTGCACATTCACACATACGTCATGCGACGCTACTGCTAGTTTCTCTTGCACATTCACACATATGTCATGCTACGCTACTGCTAGGTTTCTCTTGCACTTCCACACATACGTCATGCGACGCTACTGCTAGGTTCTCTTGCACATTCACACATATGTCATGCTACGCTACTGCTAGTTTCTCTTGCGCATTCACACATACGTCATGCTACGCTACTGCTAGTTTCTCTTGCACATTCACATACGTCGTGCTACGCTACTGCTAGTTTCTCTTGCACACACATACGTCATGCACGCTACTGCTAGTTTCTCTTGCACATTCACACATATGTCATGCTACGCTACTGCTAGTTTCTCTTGCGCATTCACATACGTCGTGCTACGCTACTGCTAGTTTCTCTTGCACATTCACATACACGTCGTGCTACGCTACTGCTAGTTTCTCTTGCACATTCACACATACGTTATGCTACGCTACTGCTAGTTTCTCTTGCACATTCGCACATACGTCGTGCTACGCTACTTCTCTTGCACTTCCACACATACGTCATGCGACGCTACTGCTAGGTTTCTCTTGCACATTCACACATACGTCATGCTACGCTACTGCTAGGTTTCTCTTGCACTCACAAATACGTCATGCTACGCTACTGCTAGTTTCTCTTGCGCATTCACACATACGTCGTGCTACACTGCTAGTTTCTCTTGCACTTCCAGTCATGCGCTACTGCTAGCACTTCCTACACTGCTAGTTTCTCTTGCGCACACACATACGTCACGCTACTGCTAGTTTCTCTTGCACTTCCACACATACGTCATGCTACGCTACTGCTAGGTTTCTCTTACAAATACGTCATGCTACGCTACTGCTAGTTTCTCTTGCGCATTCACACATACGTCGTGCTACGCTACTGCTAGTTTCTCTTGCACTTCCACACATACGTCATGCGACGCTACTGCTAGGTTTCTCTTACGTCAATATTCATGTCACACAAAGTTTCGGAAACAAGGGTTGTCATTAAAAAATGCCATTTTATGTGGTAAAACGCTCAAAAATCAATATTTTCGGTGAACACTACGTGGTTTTAAGCTCATTGAAAACACCATGATATGATGAAAATGTTGAAAAACCCTCACGAAATTGAAATTGAACACTTATGATGGAATGTCGATCTTACACCACTGCACGGCCTCTTATCAACGCCGTTACCATATTTTTCTACACTAATCAGAGAGTCTTGCAAGTGCGGCGGCCTGACCTTTAGAAAGTGAAAAGTGTTGAGGAAGATACCCTCCTTCAACTAACATATCTATGGAAAGATCCACCATTTTTAATGGGTAAGTCCACTATAAATGTATTTCTATGGCCATTTTCAATAGCAAACTGTTAGTTTACCAGAGGTTATATCCCATTAAATCCCATTAAACCACCATTTTCCTATGGTTTTCCTATGGTAAGACCTATATCTCGATCCAACGTTGAGGAGGAACAGAAAAGCCTCAACGGCGTGGTTGAGCGCTGCCTGGCCAAGATGGAGATGGACAGCCGGGAGCGACCCTTCCTCGCCGCCTGAACGCACAGGGGTTTTTCACCAGGGGACGGTGGAAACACAAAGGGGAAACACTGGGGATATACCCTCTGGATCCCTCTGGTAATTTAACATAGCTATGGAAAATCACCATTTTTAATGGGAAAATCCACTATCAATGGTCATTTTCAATAGCTATGTTAGTTTACCAGAGGGTAGTCAGAATACTAACATATACTAACCATGAATCTAGACATTCTAGACCAACTGGTTGAGTTTTGGAAGAGGACGTTTTCATGGATTAATGATTAATGGATTGGTCTAAGGGAAAATCATGCAAGAAACAGTGGAGCTTGACCCTCAGAGGGGGTTTCATGCAGCTTGGGATTCAATTGAATGGGGGTTGTATGATGGTGAATATGCCAAATTACCCGTATGCTCTATGTAAATATGTTGTATTTACCCACGTGTGGCACTTGTTTGGGGTAAAGTCATGATTCATATGGTCGCGCATTTCCTATACTATATAAAACTGGGTTTGGGTGGTTTAAGAAGACATGAGTGGTGTAGCCAATCTGTAAGTGGGCAAGCCGGCTAGCGATATAGGTTGATGGGACTATAATTCAGAGCAAGAAACTGGAAAGCAGGAAGATTGCGAGAAGACATGGTCAAGAGATGACACAACAAGGATCAGAATGAATGATACACTGTACTGGTTGGTGGTTTCAGTTTGATTTCGGATGATGATCCCCAATGACCGATTTTCAGGAAGGTTGAAACCAAACGGCCAGTATAGGAAATTGCTAGACATGTTGCATGGGTGCAAGGAGCTCTTAGATGCGGCAAGGTCTGTGCTTTGTTTGCCCGTCTCAGTCCAACATAGAACTACATGGAATGACCTTAAAAGATTGCTCAAGATTCTCTTTGCCAATACTGTAATTAGGGGCCGGAGCACCCTTTTCAAATCCCAGCCATGGGTCCACCTTTTTCGGCCGCACGTTGATTTTTAAAAAACATATTATACTATATTATACTGTAATTTGATATGTAACATACATTTTCATACATGTTCCTGGGGGTTAAAAAGCATATAAATTCATATGTAACATACATGTTCATATATGTTCCTGGGGGTTAAATGGGTTAAAGCATGTTAGTATATGTGTTATAACTCCCTTGTCCAGGGCTTCGCCGGCTTCGCCTTCTCAGGTGGACAAGCGCATGGTGACCCAGATGCTGGCTGCCTATTTGGAACAGTCAAATCATCCCAAGGCGCAGCATGAGATTCTGACGAAGATGGCGGAGACTCGACGGCATCGGAAAAATGCGGGTGTTTCATTGCCCATAGGATCCATGTATGCTATATATGGTAACATTTACCATCAATATACCATGTATGTTAGCATATATACCATACATGGATCCTATGGGTTGTGATTTAATGGCTTCGAATTGGGTTGAACGGGGATTGCCATTTTATAAGAATATGATTTGATACACAGGGGTACAAAGGGATATAACAAAGAATATGCCTATATGGGTGTCTGAACATGGAGATACCCCCAAGATAATGTTAATTGGAAAACACGCGCGCAATGATCAAGCATAGTGTTTTTGGGTGCCTTATTTCTCAGACCAACCATGAACAACCCATAATATATATATGTATATGTATATTATTATATATTTCCCACAGTTTGGGGGTAGGAAAAATCGCCTTTTGGTGGTCTTATTTCACTGGTCAACCACAAAAGGGTATTTTTTTTGTTCCGACCAAATATGAAGAAACCTGTGAACGAAGTAGAGTCCAACTCAGATTGGGACGGGAAAGTGGCGCAAAGCGCTGAGGATTTGCTTGGCTTCAGCCACTGGGCGAGAACGGCAGATAAACCATGCTTTGGTTCTTTGATGAAGGTTGTTGTTTTTTTTTTGGGGGGGGGGCCACATCAATGGATAGGAGTTATGAAAGCTATATAAATTATATATATATATATCTGTGTGTTTTACGGGAGGTCATTAGCAAACATGAGCAATACATCCAACAAAAAGTGTCTCAAACCTGGCTCAGAGGTGAACCAACTTGGAAAACTGTCCGTGCTTCCCAGTGTTTTGTTTATTTTTTAAGTTTGAGGAATCGTCCCCTTGGAAGAACAATTTTCCGTTGACTTAGAATTGGCTAGTCTCCATTTACATCTATCATCATATATCATCACATATCCCAGTATTATATATATATATATATAAGACTATTGTTTTTCTCCCAGCATAGCATGTGTTGTAACATCCCCATATAACTTGGGCTGATGGCCCAATGGCTCTTTTTTGGGCCTATTTTGGTTGCAACTTGTGGTTTGATCGTGCTCGATCACAGGCACAAGTGAACGGGAACAAGTCGGACTCTCTCAGAAAAGGTCGCCTGGCAGCCGACAGGGATCAGCAGGGATCAGCAGGGATCAGGGCTGCTGAACAGCCCAGCTGTGAAAAAACTCCCCATGATCTCAAGCTAGATGTGGAGTTATATCATGAAAATGCGCTTATATATATAATTATATATATATACATACACTTGTAACTTGTATACTATTTGCCCATATTGGGCGATGATTGCAAACCCATTCAACGCTCCCGGGCTCTGAATCCAATCTGGTTTGGTGTTTATCACATGTGCTTCATTTTCCCCTGAAAAGATATGGAATGGATTCGAATGGTTTTCACACTTGATTTTCGAGTCATATGGGGTTTACCCTCTGGTAAACGTTTCCGTAGCTATGGAAAATCCTCATTTTTGATGCATCAACGAACTAAATGGCCATGTTCAACGGCAAACTGTTAGTCATTACCAGAGGGTAACGGTTTAACCATCCACCAGCCGCCAGGAAGGGTCCCCTGAGCGACGACCCGGCGAACCTATCGGACCTGACCGATCGCTTTGTGGATTTCTTGATGGAGGAGATGGCGGATGGAGCGATGAAACCTTGGAGGTTGATGTAAGATATGGTTTGAACCATCAGAACATAAAAAAATATAGGGATGTAATGGATGTAAGATACCCTTTGGTAAATTAACATAGACCCTGAAAATCACCATCTGCTAGTTGAAACTAATCTGATTAGTGGTTTGGAACATGAATTTTATGTTCCATCTTTGGGAAGAATCATCCCGACTGACTTTCATATTTTTCAGAGGGGTTGAAACCTCCAACCAGAAAACATGGGGATGTAAGGTAACTGATAAATAAATGATGGTTGGTTGAGTTGGTTGATGATTAGTTCGGGGATGAAACTCACCAGTATTTCGGGATATTTTGGGGAGTATCACAATCCATTCCAGCAATCCCTATCAACCAATCAGTGTCCAGGGACGACACAAGGTTTTAAACACTGCTCACTATGTGGGGGATGATGTAATCGGATTTATATACCACATTCCGCACACACTTGCGAATTTGCCCTCTGGTAATTTAAGATGACTATGGACAATCACGATTGCATAATTCAATAGCATATATAAATGGGCACTTGTCCATAGCTATCTTAAATCACGAGAGGGTGTGTGTGTGTGTAATTATTCATATTCACTTGTTGAAGTTTGTTCCTGTTTTTTGCTTCGCATCGGGGCATGCCTCAAGCTTCGCTGGGCACGCCCGAGTTTCGGGTGCACGTGCAACACTTAAGCCACAGGCAAGAACATCATCCAGACTGTTATACTCTTCAACGTTTAAAGTGAACAATTTTTTTACCCTGTGATGATTTGGGATCACTTAACGTGCCTAAATGGGAACTTACCCCACTTTCTGTACCAGCCCCCAATCTTTTGGTCCTGCCAGGGCTCACTGCTTGGATAGTCCTGCCATGTCATGCCTTACCTCACACCTCCGCAGGAGTCAGAAGCCGGCTGAGCCCGACATTCGCGACTCCTCAAGGAATATAATGGGTTTGACTAGTTCTCTTGCCACATGTCCCAAGATTGATGGATATGGTATGGTTTTTGGAAACTTGCATTTTTTAATAGAAAAACAACATCCACCTCGAGCAAATACATACCTGGCCGAGTATTGCTGGTGAGTTTCAGGAGAAAGGACACCAATAAGGACATGAGCTGCCTTCCAACTGGAATCTTGTAGGCAAGCAATGAGGTCTTAAAAGTCTTAAGATGTCTTCGGTCAACTATTCTTGGCAACTTGCCGGTTGCAGCCTCATTTGCCCATCCCGAGCCGGAGACGCGTTTCAAGCTGGAAAGACCAGGGCGATGTGAGCGGCCGAAAAAAATAAACAGCAGCATCTGGTGATGGGCATCGCAAACATGAGTTGTTTTTGTTTGCTGTTTCATATGCTCCATGTACGGAATATCTTACCAACATGTACTGTACCCCACAAAATTGGCGAATGTTGGTAATTATATCATATATATATACACATGTAAATATAATATTATATAATATATATTATATATAATATATATTCATTTGACATAATATATCTGTGTGTGTGTTTGGTTATCTGCGTGCAGTATGGTCCAGTACTTCCACTCATGGAAATTCAAGTGGTGGCTTATCGCATTTGATCACTGCATCCTTGCAGGTGTTGGATGAGGGTTTTTCAACGGTAGGAACTCCAGGTCTTGCAGATTTGTGGACGACCACGTGAGCAAATCCTTCTTTGGGATCTTGGGGTTTATATATATATATAGGTCACAATAAGTCTATTGTTTTATAGTACCTGGTTGGTGGTTTGGAACATGAATGTGTTTTTCCATATGTTGGGAAGAATAATCCCAACTGACTTTCATATTTTTCAGAGGGGTAGGTATACCACCAACCAGTAAGTCTATTGTTTTATAATACTTTTCCACCAGATTTCAGAAACCATTCTTTCAGGGTGGCCACTTGCAGATTCCCATTACCCTTAGCTGCTTGAGATTCTTCTCGAGGTGAGTACTTTACAGGCCTTGCCTGGCAGAGGCGACAGAGTGGGTGACTGAGTGGTGACGGGTGGCTTTTATTTATTCATTTGTTTGTAACCTGCACCAACCCAAAAATAAACTTACCATTTCGCGATGGTTGATTTATGGTGGTTTTTGGCAGGGTTTATTTTTTGGGTTTCCTGAATTACACTGTACGCAGATGTACGCAGCCTGTTTTTTCTTGGTTGCAGAAGTTCTTCTTCCAGGATCACTTACCTGAAAAGTTCCGCTTTCCCCGATGGTTTCAGGTAGCTCTTGGTTTTCAGCAACATTCAGTTGGAGCACCAAGAGCCATGTGAAAAAACGCTTGGCCCCTGTTGGTTTCTGCAGCAGATGCACAAATCGACATCAGAATCAGGAAATTGAAGCCTGCAAGGATACACCATACTAGGATATACTAGACAAATGGAGCCGAAGGGCCAACTAGTAACTTCTCCCTGCTGCACACACCGGAATGCCGCCAGATGATGGAGACTTTCAATGGGCCAACGCTGAAAGGCACGGAGTTCCTCCCCAGATGCTTCCCAGGTAGCCACCGAGTGTCGATGGTGATATCAACCCCAGAAATCGGGGACCAATCCGTGGTGTTTTTTATCACAGCCTGGGCAGCAAGTTACGACTCCGCAACTTTGAGCTGCTTGAAGGCCGATAATGCTGCTCTGTTCAAAGTTTTTTTCGTTGATGTCACTATTTGGTGGTGAATGGAGGAGCGATTTGGAGCTATGGTTGTATCCGCATTCATCCATTCTCTCTGGTAACTTGAATATAGCAATTTCCAGTTTCTAGATTATTTACTCGGAATATTACTTCCATGGTAATTCATCAATGGCAAACTGATACTATAGACCAGTGAATACCGGATACTAATAGATGGTTTTCCCTAATATATTATAGCATGTATACATATACATATAATAATCCCCATGACCTAACTTTTGTATTGGTGGGGGGGTGTACCCCCATTTGATAATACATCAATTTGGGAAACCTGAGGAAATATACGGTTTCTTTCTGTGTGGACATGATCATTTCTGGTGGCTGAATTGATGGGCGGGAATAGCAGCAAGATAAGCGGGGCGACTGAAGCACTGTGAACTCACTACATATTATTTGTTATATATATATTTACATATCATTATATATCATATATGTATTTATATATATATATATTCACACACACACACACGCACACACGCGCACACACGGGTGTTTTTCTCTGTAACATGTTTCATTCCAGGAGGCGCTTAGAGACCGAATGTCGCGTCCATCAGCTCTCGAGCTCGGTCTCCCGGGGCTTGGTGTCATTCCTGGGCACTCTGTGAAGCCCTGGCAGAAACAAAATGGGGGTTATGCTATATGGATTTATATGGGCTTTATATGGATTAATATGGATTTATATGGGATTTATATGGTTTTATATGGATTCATATGGGATTTATATGGGATTTATGTGAGATATTTATGGATTTATATGGGATTTATGTGAGATTTATATGGGATTTAAATGGATTTTCATGGATTTATATGGATTTATATGGATTCATATGGATTTATATGGATAGAATATAGTTATACTAATATTTAAATGGTTATACTATATGGATCTATATGGGATTTAGTGTAATGGGGGGCTATTGGGGTAGACGATGAAATAGATACCTACAACTACGACCATCATCTGGATAAATTTGATCACGACCGAACATGTCGCAACGTCACCAGTACGGTGGTGAATGTATATAGGGGTAATTTCAGGTTGGTGAATGGTTACATTTAAAAAATGTCCAGATTGATGTTGGGGGAAGAAGCCTTGATGATGAAAGCCCAGTTGTCCCCTCTCCGACAAATTCCTGGGCAGCAGAAAGATATGTGGTGGCCGCTTCAGGAAAGAGTAGGTCTGGTTCTACTGGGGTCACGGTTCAGCTCCAGTTGAAAGGGCTTGGCAGTTCCCATTGTTGCTTTGTCATGGTGAGGGTCAGACGATAATACTCAGTGAATTCATGAAATCGCATCCGCATCTAGAGACTGTAGCGTGGGTGATGTTTATAATTATGGTTCATGGGTTACACTGGGGCGGGGCTACGAACCAAGGTTTGTTTGTTTCATATGTTCTTGATTCTTGATTGATTTGGTCCTTGCCGCTGCTGTGCACAGCCTCTGAGTGTGCAAAGAACACACCATTTTAGAAGTGGCCAAAGAGCCACGTGACTTTGATTTATTTGAGCCATATTAAGCCACTGGCAAAATCATTTACATAATAGTTTGTTGACTTCGAGAGGCAGAAAGAGAGAGAGAGAGAGAGAAATAGATGCATACACATAGGGTGGCTTGACCAAATATTCCATGGGCTGCAGGCGAACTACTATTACCTGCAACGTTGTTTGCCCTGCCTTGGGTTGCTTGAGCATGCCTGGACAATCAATGGGGATGGGGATCAGCCCTTTAGCTTTCAAGGAAATGTAAGCTGAACCGCAACATGCCACAGCCACCTAGCTCAGTTGATTTCCCTGGCTGGCAACGCAGCCCGATGGCCATGGACACAATAACGACCAGCCACGGAGGTTGGACATGATCATTCAAGTCGGTGCTGCATTACGTCTTACTCTAACCCTGTGTAAGGTTTAATCAACTGTGGAGTGCTATTTTAATAGCTGCTTATGGCATATGGCATATTGTTGTTGGTGATGTCCAAATTGTTTGCCAAATTGTTTGCTGGTAAATGTCATCATTAATTATATAAGATTCTGATTTGAAAAATCTGATGCTCACAGCTTTTATTGTCACCTCAAGCTCAATGTAGATGAGCGATGCCAATGAGAAACCTTCCCATTGACATGCAGGTGCCTATCAATTTGAAATCATCCACAAGGTGACCCCCAGTGATGTTTTTGGTCTATAAGCCTCATTGAAGACTAAAAAAAACATAGTTATAGCTATAGTTATCGCCACTAGCTGGGGTTATAACTATTAGTTGGGCTGCTAATGGCTATAAAGCATAGTTATTGCACTAATTTGCACCAACTTAGCTATCTAGGCGGCACCTTGCATTATTTTTCATGAGATTTTGTCATTTTTTTTCACAGTCGCTTTTCCAGTGACTTACAGGGCATGACTATGTTCTACGTTTCCAGGATCATCCTCACCATGTGTCCCCAATGGTTTTCCAGGCCCCTTGCAGCTGCAGCCATCGTCAGTCTTGGGCTTGCGATCAGCCATAATGGCTGTGCGACTGGCTCAGATTGGGTGGTTTCATACAGAGATGGTCCCACTAAAGGAGAAGTACCCTCTGGTAAATTAACATAGCTATTGAAAATTGCCATTTATAGTGGATTTACCCATTAAAATAGTGATTTTCCATAGCTATGTTAAATTACCAGAGGGTAAGTTGGTTGATACCGAGGCCAATGGGGGATTCATGGTGGACAAATGTACAAAAATTGTTGGCATTATAAACAACTCTCGTATTACTGTGGGTCCTTCTAATAAAAGTAATGGTCTTAAGGAACCCGACACAATTACAGTACTTCCGTACTTATAGATTTATAGTACCTCATAGTGAATTTTGGATTCACGATGTTTTGGATATGACACCACCGTCCTTGAATTTATCGTCAAACGTCGGCTTGAATTTGGTGGAATCAGTGGAATCTAAAGGTGGCTTCAATCACATTCGAATTGTCAGTTGGAGCAAGTTAGATCTCAACTTTAGTTGGTTCTTTGGATTACCCTCTGGTAATAGCATGTAATAGCCAATTTTTAGTGGAAACTAGTCTTCCAACCCCGACAACTGCCAGGGTCGAACTGTTAATTTACCAGAGGATAAATACTGTTAAATTGCCACAAATGTTGACACGTTGTGTCCCCATTTGGTTTTAAGCAAAAGGAGCCTGGTCCCCAGGCTCCGGCAGTGTGCTTTGCAGAGTTTGGTGGAGATTCTGACCCTGCACCAAGGTGCCCTTTTTTTGAACCTTGGGGGCTCTGTTGTGACATAGAAACCATATAGTTTATGAGCTTATGGGACATGGAGTTGGATGAGTTTATGCCGCAATTTTATGATTTTTATATTTTTTATGGATCCGTAGATTTATTCTTGTCATTTGTGTTTGATTGGAAGGCATGTCAGAAGTGTAGGGGTGCTTGAAAAGGCTTTAAGAGGGATTGATTGGATGTTTTGTGGTCCTAGTTGCCCTCGGGTTCCACCACAGTGTTGTCCTCATGTTGACTTTTTACCAAAAAGGGTCTCACTCTTCAGCGCTTCATGGATGTCTTTGAAAAGCTGAATGATATGTTCTCTATCTCTATCTTCATCTCTCTATCTTTATCTCTCTATCTATCACAATCTATCCATCCATCCATCCATCCATCTATCTATTTATCGATCTACCTATCTACTTTCAACCAACATATATAAAGTTCATATAGAAGCTCAACTGCACGAGGCCCAGCATCAGCTGTCAGGTCACCGTGTCCGGCTTGCCCTCAAAAGCTGGTTGAACAGTGAGCCTGGGCGAAGATGGCGACAATGGGAAGATACACTGGGGAAAACATAGAAAAAGATGATAAAAGATGTGGAAAACCATGGGTTTTCCCATGGGAAATCCCTAGGAAAATGATCATGGCTTTTCCATATCGAGCTGTTAGTTTACAGGATTGCAAACCCCAAGCTTGACCCATATGAATAAAAATAGGACTGGGAACATTGGGGAACAACCATACGTGCTGCATGTTCTCAATTTATTTACATGTACCTCAAGTTATTGGAGATCATTGGTTTCCCCATTGACAATGATCATTTCTTGAATAGTTCTGGGGCGACTCATTTTACGCCATACCGGACATGCATGCCAGCAATACAAAACAGGATGGCGAGACGGCCAACGGCCATCAGGACTCTCAACCAAGACTTCATTAGAATATATCAATAATCAATGATCCTGTCTAAATGGATATGTAACATGTTGATTTCCCCATATATCCCAGCTGTTGAATTCGTCCATTTGTGTCGCCCAATACAATGTTCATGGTCGTGTCTCCTGTTTGAAGGCACCCCCTCAAAGCCATGACCTATAAAACATTGCCAGTTTCCTATGGCCATGTTAGATTCGATTCCCGTAAGCACTGCCAGTTTCCTACGCTACGGCAATGTGGCATAGCCAGGCAAGCTTCCCAGCATTGCTTTCAGCGTAACTACCGTATATTGGATTACCGAAGGGAAGATAGGTAGATAGATGGATGGATGGATAGACAGATTGCTTCATACTCCCATGATTTGTTGGCAAAAATCCCAATTTTTGTCCTGTGGATGGCAGAATTCCTGCATTGGATGGTTGAAACCCTATAAATAATGGGTTAAAGAACCTCTCAACTGCAGGAGTTCTTCCATCCACTGTATCACCATCCATAGACGGATAGAACTGCGCTGCGTATAAGGTGCGTCAGGTTCAGCTCCACCAGCACCATGCTCGAACTGCGGCTGAAGCCTCTCGAGCTTCTGACAGGTGCGGAAGGGTGATGTTTTGCGGAGTACCGCTGGCGGTTGCAACTTGGGATTCCCAGAAAAATCAAGAGAAAACCAAGTAAAAGTGGTTGATGAAACGAAATTCCAATAAAGTTGGGGTTCCATCGCTCATGTTCACACATGGAATTTGTTTTTCTTGGATTATGAACCGGAAGGACCCCGGCTGACTCGTAGTTTGCAATGCTGTTTCGTTCATCTTGCCATCAAACACCATTGCAATGATGCCTCAATTTGCCCACCTACATGGCAATGTATAAGCCACTTTTCTCGATCAATGTTTGGGGAAGTCTTAAATCTTTCATGGACGCCTAAAATCAATAGGGTCCAGAACTATAGTAATATGCACACCTTTTACACACATGCCCGCTTGTTTCTCACATGGAACCATTTTGGATTTGTTTGAAAATGGGGTATAATATGGTATAATTATACCCCCAAATGGCAATTTTCATGGAATATATTTATATAGGGAAACTCATGATAAACCATGAACATTTGGGGTACTGCTATTTTCAGATAAAAGTGATTAGAGGCTGGCTGAGAAGCACGAGGGCAATGTGGCGCAGCTTCGGAAGGAGTGGAAGCACGCCAGACAGGTCCGTCATGTGGTGGAAAGGATATGGATTTTTCCTTTGAAATCCTGTGAGAAAAAAAAACATCGTTTAGGCTTAGGAATTGTGAACACAACTATATATAATTTAGGAATCTATATAATCATGGATGATATGGATGAACAGATGCATAATGAAAATAGTTGGCTCTACGATCATCGTTCCAACTTGGATGGATCAAGACTCATTATACCATAGGTGAGGATGGACGGGCATTCAATGGTGGAAATTCCGATGGATTACCTGCATCATCATTCATTGGAGAGTATATGTTACAGGTATGGTCATCCCACCATCATTTTCGTGGGATTCCTTGTGATGGGATATTTATATAACGAGTATTCAACACTATTGTTAAAATTGTTAGGGACTATTCCCCCAGCTCATGGGAATGTTTTAACAGTGGTACATGTCATGTCAGCAGTTTCAAAGTGGGCATTGGTGGTTCCCCGATACATTGGGCGGAATCCGTTGGAGCTGTGTGAAAAAAATGAGATTCGGGGAAGGTGGTATGCAGGAATTGACCGACCTGAAAATCTGGTAACCCCAGGTGCATGGTTATTCCCCCAGTCATATGCTACTTTCATTTCATAGGTTTAGACCATTTTTCATCACTCCACATATGCATAGTTCATCACACACACGCACCAAATCGCACACGCGTGGCCTGTTGGTTGATCGACCCATCCCTGTTGGTGTTTCCCTCAGAGGGAGAATGGCCAGGCCATGATGCAAAGCCAGTGTGGCCTCCCAGGACTCCAGGAATAGGAAAACCAGAGGCTGGCAGTGCCAATTTCTGAAGTCTGACTGTCAGACAAAAATGGTGGATGGCTATCCTAAAATGGCCTTATATATATTATATATAATGTCAAGTGAGGATTAATAAACCCCTCCCGATTAATCAACCACCATTGCCCAAAAAAAAATGTAATTTAAAAACAGGTGGTCCCCCCAGATTAATAAACCGGTGGGCCTACCCCCGATTAATCAACCACCAGTGCTGAAATCCATTTTTTTATCCAACATTTTTTTTATTTCCAATTCTATTTATTTCCAATTGTTGTTTACCTTTTTTTTAATCATCATTGTTATACTTCAGGTTTAAGTTGATCATTGAACATTTCAAAAAACAACTATTCCCCAAATGATCGATTTCTAATTAAAATCTTTATAAAAATCATCAGTTTGGATAGCTCCCAAAGGGTACCCCCCATGAGCCCATGTTCCCCATTAATAATAACCAGGGTTTGCCCCTGATTAATCAACCACCTTTCTGATCCATGAAATTTTAACAAATCCAATGGAATTCTATTAAGATCTAATTGACGTAAGCATACGTAAGCCATATCCAAAGTTTTATGGTTCAGAGTTGCTTATTATTAACGGGTGGTCAAGAAAACCAGTCAGAAGGTACCCCCCCTACCTTCTGGGGGGGGGGGGTTATTAATCCGGTGTTGGCATTACACGTGTGTACTGTGTATATATATATATATATATGTGGAGGGGACCTTTATGTATAGAATGACGGGGTTCTGGATCTCGCTTCTGAGGACCTCAATTACAATTCCATAAGAAAGGCTAGTCTAAAATCCGATCTCCATATTCATCTCCTTTTCAATGTTTCTATAAATTCATGGCTGCATTTCCTTTGGCTTTCCTTCAAGTGTGCTGTCTTATTTATCCTGGCCTTTGTAGATTTCCTTTCCGAAATCTAAATTCCTAATGAAATTGTCTTTTTCCGGTTCCTTCTGAAATTTGCTTGCAAATATCAATTTCCTTTTAATTTCCTTTTAAAGCTATTTCAAATGTTCGTTGGAATAATTCTATTTGGACACGGTTCAAAAACGAAAGCGGAATTATAAAGCATAGGGCGGGCCAAGGCATTTTGTCTCGCATGCAATGTAAAGTGTATGCTTTTCATTGCTTTTCTGCATGTGCCAATGTCTTCCCACCTCTTGGGATTCTCTACGCCTTTCCTCGCCGCTTCTCCACAGCTTCTTGCCCTCCCCCCTCTCCACCTACAAAGGAGAAAGACGAAGAAAGGGGGTGAAGCAGGTGGAAAGTTGTGGGTGGAAGGGTAGGTGGAAGGGGTGGATATGGTTGGAGAGGTTGGGTGAAGATGATGCTAGGGTGATGCGAGGGTGGAGCGAGGTTGGAGCGATGGTGGAATGAAGGGTGAGGTGTGGAGAAGGTGATCAAAAATTGATACCAAGTACAAGGATACATCTACTGTATTTATTCACATCCTTTGCGCGATCCACTCCTTGGGATTCTCTCCTTCCCTTTTCACTTTCCCGCGGCTTTTTCTCTTCTCTCCCCCTCTCCACCCTTCTACATGTCCATCTCCGCTCAATACCCTCATTCCTCTTTCCGAAAAGAATCTTCGGGGCAGAAAGTGTGGAGAGGAGTGAGCAGGGATGGAAAGCGGAGAGAATTAAATGAAGTTGGGGTGATGGGCGGGGTCACGATGAAGAGTTGGGCGGTGGGCGTAGCGAAAGGCAGATGGATGGAGAAAAAGAACATGTACATTAGATAGACGCAAGTAATTCATCCTGACTGCTTTCTTATCTAGCCGTTTCTTTTTTCAAAACTACTTTAAAGTTCAATTGTGATTGCCTTTTCCAGCTCCATCTTATATTGGCTTGCATAGATGAAAAAAATGTATGTCTACTTTCTTTTTTGGACATACTTTTCAATGTGCCTTGGAACAAATCTCTTAAGACATGATTCAAAAGCAGCAGTGCAAATACAAAGCATAGGGTGGACTAAGGCATTTTGCCTCTCAGGCAATGTAAAAGTGCATGCTTTTCATTGCTTTTTCTGTGGGGGGAGCGAGGGCGGAGCGGGGGTGGAGTGAAGGGTGGAGTGAAGGGTGGAGTGAAGGGTGGAGTGAAGGGTGGAGTGAAGGGTGGAGAAGGTCGCCAAAAATTGATACAAACGATGCATATTTATTTCGTTTTTTGCTTGATCCACTGCTTGTGCTTTTTCCCTTGCCTTTTCACTTCTCCGCAAACTTTTTCTCTTCCATCCCCCTCTCCACCCTTCTACATGTCCATCTCTGCCTCCACTCAACACCTTCATTCCTGTTCTGAAGATAAGGTGCTAGGGGACAAGGGGTGAAGAGGAGTGAGCATGCATGGAAAGCGGAGAGGGTTAAATGAAATTGAGGTGATGGGCAGGGTCGCGATGAAGGGTTGGGCGGTGGGGTGTGGTGAAAGGCAAATGGGTGGAGAGAAACAAAATGCAACACATACATGAACAATTCATCCGGACTGCTCTTTTATCTATTTAGCAATTTCTTTCAAAACCTATTTGAATTTCAGTTGAAATTGTCTTGTCCAGCTCCATGTTCAATTTGCTGTCAAAGAACAGAACAAAATTGTCTTCTAGTTTCTCTTTAAATTTTCAATTTTCGTTGGAATAATTCTCTTTAGACATGATCCAAAATTGGCGGCCACATTTTGAAAGGCAGAGGGTGGGGCCATGGTTTTTGCGCAGGCAATGTAATGTGGCAAAGAACTGCGCAGGCGATGTTACATGGCAAAGAACCTCATTTGGGGTTTTTCTATACAATCCAATTATAATGATTTTGGTGCTGGTTTCTTGTTGGGCTTACCACATTAAAGTGTGTGCTTTTCATTGCTTTTCTTTATGTGCCAATGCTTGTCTCATTGATACCTGTCCACTTGTGCTTTTCCTCTCTTTATCTGCGCTTTGCCTCGCCGCTTTTCCACAGCTTCTTGCCTTCCCCCCTCTCCACCTACAAAGAAGAAAGAAGCTGAAAATGAGGTGAAAAGGCCTAAACATGGGTAGGTGGTAAAGTGTGAATGGAAAGGGGGCGGATTGCGAGTGCAGGGGTTAGGAGATTGGTAGGAAGCGTGATGCCATGGTCCGGCCAGGATGGAGTGAGGGTGGAGCGAGGGTGAAGCAAAGATCGAGCAAGGGCAGCAAGGGCTCAATGAAGGGTGGAGAAGGTTGCACAAACTTGAAAACGATGCATATTTATTTACATTGCTTGCGTTCTTCACCGTTTTTTTGAATTCGCTACTCCTTGCCTTTTTCACTTCTCCACGGCTGCTTCTCTTCTCTCCTTCCGTTCCTGTTCCAAGGAGAATGTTAGGGGCTGAAAGGATGGAGGAGTGAAAAGAGATGTAAAAACGGCGAGGGTTAAGTGAAGTTGGGGTGATGGACAGGGTTATAATGAAGGGTCGAGCAGAGAGATGAGGCGAAAGGAGAGGAAAATCTTCTTGCAAGTGCCAGTCAAACTTTTATCATTGTTCTGAGTTTCTATTTACCTTTGGAATATCTAGCCTAAAGATCCGATATCCTCATTCATAGCTTTCCTTCAAGTGTACTGTCATATCTTCATTCTGGCTGTGCCCTTATCTAGCCTTTGTACATGTCCTTTTCAAAAGTAGCTTAAATTTCAATTGAAATGATCTTTTCCGGTTCCTTCTGAAATTTGCTTGCACAGATCAATTTCCCTTTAAATTTCTCTTTGAAGCTATTTCCAACTTTCGTTGGAATAATTCTCTTTGGACACGATCCAAAAACAGCGGCGCCATTACAAATCACAGGGCGGGCTAAGGCATGTTTGTCTCGCATGCAATGTAAAGTGTATGCTTTTCATTGCTTTCTGCATGTGCCAATGTTTTCCCACCTGTTGGGATTCTCTACGCCTTGCCTCGCCGCTTCTCCACAGCTTCTTGCCCTCCCCGAAAGACACAGAAAGGGGGTGAAGTAGGTGGAAAGTTGTGGGTGGAAGGGTAGGTGGAAGGGGTGGATATGGTTGGAGAGGTTGGGTGAAGATGATGCTAGGGTGATGCGAGGGTGGAGCGAGGCTGGAGCGATGGTGGAATGAAGGGTGAGGTGTGGAGAAGGTGATCAAAAATTGATACCAAGTACAAGGATACATCTACTGTATTTATTCACATCCTTCGCGCGATCCACTCCTTGGGATTCTCTCCTTCCCTTTTCACTTTGCCACAATTTTTTCTCTTCTCTCCCCCTCTCCACCCTTCTACATGTCCATCTCCGCTCAATACCTTCATTCCTCTGTCCGAAAAGAATTTTAGGGGCAGAAAGTGTGGAGAGGAGTGAGCAGGGATGGAGGAGAGAGAGTTAAATGAAGTTGGGGTGATGGACGGGGTCACGATGAAGAGTTGGGCGGTCGGGCGTAACGAAAGGCAGATGGATGGAGAAAAAGAACATGTACATTAAATAGATGCAAGTAATTCATCCTGAATGCTTTCTTATCTATCCGTTTCTTTTTCAAAACTACTTTAAAGTTCAGTTGTGATTGCCTTTTCCAGCTCCATCTTATCAGATTGAACGCGCAATGGCGGAAATTTTCACCCCAGCCACTCAGCCACTCAGCCACTCTGAGTGGCTGAGTGGCTGCTCCAGCCACTCTGGCAGAGTGGCTGAGTGGCTGCTCCAGCCACTCTGGCAGCGTGGCTGAGTGGCTGAGTGGCTCCTCCAGCCGCTCTGGCAGAGTGGCTGAGTGGCTGAGTGGCTGCTCCAGCCACTCTGGGAGAGTGGCTGAGTGGCTGAGTGGCTCCTCCAGCCACTCTGCCAGAGTGGCTGAGTGGCTGCTCCAGCCACTGCGTGGCTGATGGGCTGAGTGGCTGGGGACTGGCTGCTCCAGCCACTCTGGCAGAGTGGCTGCTCCAGCTACTCTGGCAGAGTGGCTGAGTGGCTGAGTGGCTGCTCCAGCCACTCTGGCAGAGTGGCTGAGTGG